ATTGTAAATGATTCGTACCAAATTATGATAGTGTACCTGACAAGGTTATACATGAAATGTTCAAATATGAGGAATAAACAAGTTACGAAATGTTTTTGTTTTATTTTTCCATTTGTGAACGACTAACTGCGCGCGTTTAGTCGATTTTCTCAACCAATTTTTCCGTCAGTAGCCCATGTGCTATTTCAGACTCTTAATCTATCTTTATGCTAAATTTCATCCAGATGCGGTCAGCAGTTGCGACATGATTGAATAAAAAACATAAATCCATCCATACTTTCGTATTTTAAAACTTACCTAGCTAAGCTGTTTTACTCGTATCTTGGCACAAAACTAGACATGTTGGTGGTGAAGCCTCGTGGGTTAATATTATACGCTTCAGTATCTAGTATGATTACAAACTAGATACTGAACGCGTGTATTTTTTTAATTTGTAATACATATTTAAAATCATTTAGATTTCTAGACTTTTTTATACATAACTTTAACTATACCAAGTTTCATGCGTTCAACGAAATGTGCATACAAAGAGTGAGGTGTTTTATTATGAAATAAAATAACTTATAAAAAATCTTGTCTTTTAATTGTTAACTTATAGAAGGAACATAAACACAAGTGACAAAAACTATTTGGTAGAAGACACTGGTATTCAGAAGTTGCTATAACCTCGGGTTACCGACTTTATTTAAACATTCAATACTCAGATAAATTTCTTATATCTAACAACTTTACACACAACAATATATTATATTGTATTAGGCTTTAAAGCCTATTAGGCTTTAGGATAGGTAGACATTTGAACACAGAAATAACAAGAATAAGACGATTTGACAAATCAATAACAAAATTTTTACGCATACACATTACATACATAATATTTTAGTTTATATTAATATTTTAATATTGGTTTATTTTAAATAAGAAAGAAACACTACATGTGTACTTACTAAGAATAGTGGCGCAGACTAGAACGAACAGAATTGACGCTGAGAATAGAATATTCAAAAAGTGAGCCTAGTTTCCAGATCCTATTACTCCTTTACATGAAACACTCACAAGTTACTTTAGATATTTCCTTATATATAGAAGAAAAAACATGTATACGTATACAAAATGTCACTATAGTTTATTCGCGTTAAGAAAATAGTGACGCATGGATCAAGCCCCGCCCCCGACCAATTAGGTGCTAAAAAGTATTGTTTCGCACGAAAGCTTTAAGCCCAATTGGTTTTCTTAACGCGGATGGACTATAAATTCAATGTTCCTGCTATTCTTGTGAACATAGTAATCACAAGAAAATTGAGAAGGCTCTAAACATTATTACTAGAATCGAAAACAGCAGGTAGCTATAACTTACAAGTGTTATTTCCAGTAACGACAGAATATGTATATAAAAAGAGATCTACGATACAGATAACATTAACATGTTTACTAAATAAATTAGCAAGATGGGTATGTTTCTCGAGCGAAGCTTGCAAGACGATTACTTTGACTTGAGCCCGAAAAACGCGTATAACAATCGAACTAATCAGTTCGTAATAAAATTCAAAAACAATATTCATAAATAAACTTGGATATGCTCATGATTTCATCAATAAAATTATATTCTTCAACAAAATACAATAATTTCGACAGCATGGCGCTACATCTGTTACGCGGGCTTGGAGTCTTCGCTTGCCTGTTCAGCATTCAATTTTCGAATTCTCGCTAAATGCCTTTTTGCAATCTGGATGCGGTGGAGTAGCATAGTTCGCTCCCAGCTCCATACAGCCCAACGCTGTTAAATGTTCATGTTATTATAGTCCATCAACGTCGTGCGCGACCGTCTTGCGGGGTGACAGACGGAGCCGGGCCGAGGTACTCAAGATGTCAGCGGGTAGCGGGTGCTGTAGCGGGGAAGGGAATCGTGTGTAGTCGTGTGCTAGAATGACCCGCTACCTCGCCCCCGCCACTGTCTGTCACCCCGCGGGACGGACGCGCACGAGATTGCCGGGTTATAGCTATCATTCACAAGTTAATTTCATAAAGTCGAGGTAGTAAGAGCTCATTCCGCATTTGAAGTAGAACGCTGCAAAGGTTGCGATTAGGTATCCTTCGGCTATTAACTATTCTTCTTCTCTCAGTACAGAAGAATAGTCAAAGCAAAGTAGTTTTCTTGATTAATAATTATAATACAGACCATTTAGTATATATTATATGAGGACAGTCTGCATCTACAGCGCCTAGTTAAATCGCTCTTTATTAAAGAAATAAGAGAGTCGCTATTTTGTCCTAATTTAGTGAGCTTCCTGTACATATGTTGGTAGTTTATATGTGGTATTTATACCGGTGTATTGAAGTTGGTGAATGTAAGAAAATATAATTAAAATGGGCAAAAAATCTCTGTGCAATATTACGCACCAATCCCATCCAATATCACGATCAACTATTTAAGACGAAAGCCGTATACCACGCCAGTCATTTTACACAGAAATAAATTTTGGATTTGGATAATGGGTTGCCCGCAATTTAATAAAACTTTCTCATCTGTTTGCCATCCAAAAGCAGTTTAGAAGATATCCAATGGAGCGCAAAACATCTATTGTACTTACTTACCGCCTCACTATATTTGTTCACAGATAGCTCCACAATATTATCCAGTTACTATTTTTAGACAGAAAACGTCCACCACCATCGGAGTTTTCGGTGGTGCGGTGTCTAATTTAAACTATAAAAAAGCATCATCGATGCATCTACATAATGGAGAATTGTAATACATCGTATTCTTTACTTCCTTTTTACCGCCATTTAAATGATTTGTTTTCAAATCTGAATGGTACAAACGGGAGATATAAAACCCACCCAAATGAAAAAAAAAAATGTGCCAAATCAGTGCGTAAACGAAGGAGTTTTGACGTTACAAACACAATAACATCTAACATACAACAAACTTTTACAAAATTACAAACCATTAATAACATTTTCCCTTTTCTGGTTCAAATAAGAAGATATCTGTCAAACCGGGATATTGCTTGAATACCAACCAACGAAAACACTTCAATACCCATCTATCGAAGTTACACCGAAGTACGAAATAAAAATAAACATACATTTCGCAATGAAAGCTCTCACCCAGATATATACAACTGCCCGATTTCAACCTTTGGGCAATAGCCCATGTCATGGCATGATCCCCACACAAAGTCCCCAGAAGGAAATAACATCCGTTTCTCCACATAAGGCAAGTGCCTCATTAGTGCGTGTTGCGTTGCGTCGTCACAAAAGATCAACGCATGGAATGCCACACCTGCGAGAAGGGCGACGCACCCACCTCACCTCAATGTTGATTTCAATCTTTCTTTCACAATGGATCGGAAAAAACGTATTCTATTATTGCTGTTATTGAGCCACCGCCGTAACAAACGTAGAAAAAATAAAAGATTCTGGATATCTCCCTTGATTGCACTAACAAATAGTGTTTAGCAGTATTAGTATAGTGTAGCAGTGGAACACTGTCCGTCGTTGCATCGGAGCTCCGATAGCGCAGCGCATCTCCCTTCCCCCCCGCTTCCTCTCTCGTCCGATCCGTTAAAACGTTTGTCACAAAAATATATGGAAAACGACACGATGCTGCGACGACTCAACGCACTAACGCACGTCTTTAACTATAGCAATAAATTATAAACAATATATATGTATAACAAGAAGTACATACTGAGATTCATAGTTAGGGACCCCCATACTAGGTGACCCGTTTAGGGGGAGTCTTGGCCTATACTACTGGTAGTCACCGAAAGGGAGGAGCGTTCTTGTAAGTCTGCTTACAAACATTACAATACTCGTGTATTAAGGTACAAAAATAAAACATGCAACGTTAACGAACCATATTTATTCACGCATCACGGAATAAGTTAAACAACCAACATATAATATCTCATTCACAAACCAAAATCTCTACCGTTATGTTATAACACTACATAATATAGTCAACCCCTCGTCACGAATGTTGTAGTATTTAGAAGGATGTGTCTAGTAACTGCCAGCGTCATACTTCAACCCTTCAACATCGTCTATCATTAATTAAATAGTTTCTACTCTTTGTAAGAAAGAGATAACAATGTGTTTGTTATTTCGATACTTTTTTGCTTAAAGTACCTAAGTGTTATACAAGGTTACATCTTTCGTTTCATAACTTGCTGCGGGATTTCGAAGTTTAAAAATTTTCAATTCCTTAATAAAAATAAAAATTTCAAGAAAGTATGTATATACAATAGTATATTTTTTACTTGACTTTAAAATCAATTTCATACTTAAGTATGAACCTAAATTTTACATTAACATTAACGTAATGTTATTTAATGTAAAAAAAAAGAAACAAAATATAATATATAAAAGTGGACAATGTCAAAATATTACAATAATAACATACACTACAGTTACTGACAATCCAAGTTTCAGACCATTCTATACATAACATTCTAAAAATCAATACTAAATGCATAAGTGGATATGTTTTGCATAATTTGAAACTACAGATGTGGTGTTTAGTGACTTGAACCATTCTTAGCGCGCTCAGTGTACCCCAAGCTCAAAGCTTACGCAATATTAACCATAGAATTTTAAAATAATAGGAACAAGTTTCAACAAGTCACTAACAAGAGACGCGAGAAGCTAAACAAGATAGCATATAATGATAAAACAATTGTAACAGCCAACACCAATGTACCAAAACCAACAAACAATCTCTCCAATTAGACTCTAATACCTTGTTTTGAGATATATCTATAACAAAGTTTAAACATTTTTCCAATATCAATATTAATATCAATATATAATTTAAAACTAAAACAAATTGTTTTTCACACAACTCAATCATAAAATTTGTTTAAAATCAGAGTCAATCCATGGTACAACTCTAGACAGATAATCAAAACAATTGGTTCAAACGTTGGTACTTGGATGTTGGCGGTTGGGCGCATGGCTGTGTGTGGTGCGGTCGCGCGTCCGACCCGCCGTCAGCGTCAGTTGTCATCCTCGTCATTCTCAAACATCTCGTTGTATTCGCGCGAATGTTCGAAATCTTTGAGGTCCTGAACAAAAGAGATGATACTATGAGAATGATTAAGAATACAACTTTGGCAGCGACTACGGAAGCAGTTGAATATGCAAAGTACTACACGAACTAAGCGTATCAGTAGAAAGAGACAATTAGTAATTAAAAACTCTAATACGACGGTAAACAAATAAAATAATATCAGTGATTTTAAACATTTTTAATGCACAAAGTCACTGTTAATATTTTCGAATACGTCTATTTAGAATAGTAAGATGAATTAGAAATATAATATAATTTGCAAATAATATAAGTTAAAATACACAACTACCTTGTCAAAAACAAATTATGAGCAATACAGTTGCAATTTTTTTATTGCATAAATATAGGTAGGTAGGTAATGGTGCAAGGATTCCAACGATATCCCATACATCCAAAGCTGTTAAGGCATTTAAAAGTTATCGTGCAATAAAGAAACTCACATACATACAAACAGACATACATACATACACACATACATACATAAAACGTCAGACAATTCCAAGGTACGTATTAAAATTACGCGTTAAGTCCTGCATATTTAGTCTTACAAACAATCACGACAATTCACTCTAATTTTCCATTAGATTTTTAACAAATATGAATAGGGTTGCCACCATAAAGTGCGTACATTATTTTTTTAAGTGGTTTGAATGAAAAAATGTCAAAACTAAAAAGTTTTAAATTGAAAATCACACACAGTAGGAATCAGGACTTATGATGAGGAAAATAAGTAATTATATCATACTCGTTTAGGAAATGCATGCATGTATGACAATAACATTTTACTACATGTGTGTTCCAAGTGTCAATCCAGAAGTAAAATTTCTTCCCTACTTAGCAAAGTTTAGTTTTATGAACTAATCACAAAATATATCTAATACCACTGTCCCTTTGTAAAGGTCAATCAGAGTACTACACATTTATTTATAGTTGGGGCAGACAGCGAGCGGGCGCCGGGAGATGGCTATAGATGCCACACCGTGCCGTCCCGATCGGTAATCAGCGCTAGTACATTTCAACCCATCCGTTGTCTGTCTCAACTTTAAGGGAATTAGACAATGGAGGAAATAGACATTACGAACCAAACTCATGTTTAAAGTATCAAAGCAATAAAGGTTTCAATTGCTTATAAGTTTTAGTAGCAGATCTAAAAATATTAAGTACAAGAATGTACTAAAAGTTTTCAGAGGGATGTTGAATCAGTCGGGTTATTATGAAATCTTATGAGAAAGTTAATGCAACTTATGATTCTTTCTGTGTTAATGATGAATGAATATCGAGTGAGATTTTTGTTATTTTTGAGTTAAATAAAGTATGTCTTGTTTAAGTATGTTTAAGTTTTCTGCGTTAATGGCGTAGTGGTTTAGCACTCGCCACGCCGCTTCCTACTACGGCGATTCACAAATTGTCGTTCTTTGGGTGTTCTTTGTGTCCGTTTAATGTATGTTTGTAAAGCCCCCCGCAACACAGGATATATTCCTAGTGCGGGAGTTGTCTTTTGATCTAATCACGATTCCTGGCTCGTAATGGTACTTATTTATACTTTCATCTACTAACAAAACGTTTTTTGTATATATTCAATTGCTATCGATAATATGGTATTAGCTAATCTGCCAAGTAGTAATAATAAAATAAAAAATAAGTGAGCAGAGCAAAAAAATAGAACAACTTATCTGCAATCGAAACTTTATTGCTTAGGCACTGATAAAAATACTGTTTCCATATTTACCTGGAACATTCCATTGGCGACAGCATACCCCGTCATGGCTATCGCAGCGAATAAAGCCGCTAAGATCTTGTTGCGAGTCTGATTCGGGAAGTTGGCTGCCTCACGTTCCGACTGCGTACCCGTTGACTGTTTCTTTGCATTTTGTTTGTTGTACTCTGAAAATTATTAAAAGTAGAAATCATATTTCAGTCTTTATTATGGCCACAACATTCTTGGAATCAGTTGTTTTTTTTGTAGACTGCCTCGGTGATGCAGTGGCAGCGTATGCGACTGCTGTGCTGAGGTCTCGGGTCGATTCCCGGGTCGGAGAAAGGGTTGGTATGATCTACAAATATTTGTTTAAGAGTTTGGGTGTTTTCTATGTATAATATGTATATATTTACAAAAAAAAATTAGTAGTAGTAAGTAGTATTCTATCAGTCAATCTAGCTTTCATAGTACGCGTAGTAGAGCTTTGCTTAGTTTGAAACCAAATGGCGTTGTGTCTCAGATGTCCAAAATATCTTACCGCCGAGTTAAAATATTGCTGACACTCCCCATTCCATTCATTAAAGTAAAATTCCTTTCCTATTTTTTTTTTCACCTAAATTACACCTTTTAATTTTCTTTAAGAATTAAACCCAAGTGACCGATTTAAGGTCAATAGACGTGACTCATATTCCATGGGATAAAATTATACTTGCTATAATGTAGGTTCTGCCAATTTTGCAGGAGAGTGCGTCAAAGTATATATATATATATATAAATATTTACTATGTTAACATGGCTATTTCAAAAACTATGAGGAAAATTTGACTTTTTGTTACAGCTGCTGAAAAACAGTGCTTTTTTAGGTCAATAGTAAAATAAAAACAAAATCAAGAAAATTGCATATCCAACCTTCTTAATAGGGACAGGCGAAATGGTTTTTTCCATAACTGTGTTTAGGATGAAGCAAGAATAAGTTTGCATCATCCTCAACATAGTAACTAATAACCATTTTACGGCACATACATTGCCTTTTTGAAATTTTAATTATCAAATTAATGTCTTAATAAATTAATAATTATGGATAATATTCAGAATAACAAAAAGTATCAGGAATAAAATTATTTTCAAACATAAACAGCATTTAGGTTTAGGTTGGTATGGAGTTTGTGTCAAGTTTTCCTCGTCTTTGCAATGCTGTGGCCCTGCATAGTTTGCGCCCTTAGTCGGCTCTTAGGACATCTATGCGATGAATAGTGGTGGTGACACTTCATTTTCTTAATCTGTCACCACATGTGTTATGCTGAAAGAATACTTGCAAACTATCCTTTTTCATCATCTTAACTTAGTTATAAAAAAAAATACTAATCAATAAATAAACCTTCTTTCTAACAATATTTCGGACAACTGACACACAACGCCATCTAGTTTCAAATTAAGCAGATCTTGTACTATGAAAGTTAGATTGACTGATACAATACTTTTATACATTTTTTTGTAAATACATACATATTAAACATAGGAAACACCCAAACTCAGAAACAATTATTTGTACATCATGCAAACATTTGGAATTTAACCCGAGACCTCAGCACAACAGTTGAATACGCTAACACTGCACCACATAAGCAGTATAAGGAGAGGGCTATCTTCAGCAGTGGCCTGTTAAACTTTGATGATGATGAGGAAATAGTAACTTACCATCTGTAACATGCCTAAAGTTCTTCTGGTTAATTCTGGCAACAAATCTTGTAAGGTTAGCAATGCCTTTGACAAAGTTAGATAACGTGGGGTTTGGGAAGGGTGCTTTGACAAGGGGCGCCAAGTATGCAAAAACTGTAGCGTCAAATGACGATGGACGGTTTCCAAAGAAGTATTCGCTTTCACCCAGCCTATCTGATAAGGTTTTGAGGCACTTCTCTGCTTCACTGTACAGCTGAAATTAAAAATAATAAATTTAATTGAATAATAATAATGTTACACATGTCCATCTTATCTTAAACTAGGCAAAGCTTGTACTATGGTAACCAGAATGTTGATAAATGTCTAAATACATACATATTATAGCTAAATTATACCCAGACATAGAACAAATAATTGTGCTCATCACATAATTATTTGGTGTAACAGTCAGGACCACTAACCACTAGGCCACTCCTACTTTTTCTTTTTGTCAAACCATTTTAACAGTTGTAGGCATATTATGTGTACACTTATATATACATATATACTCAGTAACACCTGACACCATTGTAATGGACAAGACCCTTGACTCCTTGAAAATGAGCCACTTTTAGCTTTAGGTCTGAAAAGGTTTGGGCATCCCCAAAATTCATAAGTGCGTAAAACGGACAAACAGAACAAAACAGGAAGGAATCTTGAATACTGAATACCACACCACACACAGAAGTATCAAAAAAGTAACAAGTTGAAAAATGCAACATTTTGTCTGTAAATGATAATTTTTACTTACATATTATACGTTTTTAGCATTGCAATGGTTAAATAATACTCACAGTTCTTTCAATTTCCCTTAAATCTGTATGTTCTCCATACAATGCATCAATCATTTCCTTGGCTGCATTTTGATACCTTGATGGGTAATAGAAATTAAACGGAATAGATAGAGCTTTGGCATATGTTGGTCTGGTTAAGTCACAGTAATTTTTCTCATCCACCCACCATGCATACTGGTACGCGGGATACAATTTTTCGCCTAAATATTGTGTAAATGCACTCGCTTCAGCTGCTTGTTTTGTGTTTAAATGAACATCTGTGCTGTAATGCTGTAAGAGAAAAGTTGGTCAAGGGTTCAGGTATCAGGTAAATTATTGACAGAGATTTATTAAGTAATTTTAAACTAATTATATAAAATATGTATGTTACTTTTAATTTAGAATAACTAAAAAAAATAACATACCAAAGATTTCAGATGTTCTACAACTTCTTCGAAATTTGTGAGCAGTTTACGGCCGTCCCTCATGACAGGCAGTCTACCTTTTGGTGTGAAAAATGGATTGTTTGCTTCTCGCACTCGCACTGGTACTCCAATAAATTTCATATACGTCTATGGAGAAAGTAAACGCAAAATTATGAAAATATACCGGCACAGGATATTGTTTGAGGTTATTTTAAAGAATACTCACTAAAACTTTAAGGCATTCTAAATCGATGGACGCGAGTCCCCATTCTCCTCGCCAAATATCCAATTCTATACTAGCCATGACTTAGTGAAATCTTTTACAAATAATTCTATCAATTTTTCTAACATTGATCAAATGACATGACAGCTAAATGCTTATCTTTAAATTTTGTTCGTTGGGTTGCCATATTGTGAAAGTTATTAAATCGATTCCAAAAAGTAACTTCAGAAAGAATAGTGGCATTTCATCATCTGCCTACCCTTTTCCCAATTTTATTTAGGGTCGGTGCAGTATGTATGATTTTTCCATTCTACTCTGTCATGCGTCATCTCACTGTTTACTCCCTTCCTAGCCATATCCTCCCTGACGCAGTCCATCCACCTCTTCTTCGGTCTGCCTCTTCTCTTGTACCCTTCAACCCTCATTCCTAAAACTTTCTTCGGTACATTTTCCTCATCCCTCCGCATGACATGTCCATACCAAGATAACCTATTACTTCTTAACTTTTCACCCAGTGGCGCTACTTTCAGACTCCCTCGTATATACTCATTCCTAACCTTGTCCATCTGAGTCACACCACATCCATCTCAGCATTCGTATTTCGGCTAAGTTCAGGCGTCTCTGCCACCAACTTACTTCTTTTTATGAGAAAGTAGTCGATCTGTGTCGCGTGGCTACCACTATTATACGTGATCAGATGTTCGTGACGTTTTTGGAACCATGTGTTAACTATTGCCAAGTCAAACGAAGAGGAAAACTGGAGCAGAGACTCAACATCAATGTTTCTACTTCCGAACCCCCTTCCTCCATGTACTCTTTCATAATCCTCATTCGTTGTTCCCACATGACCATTAAAATCTCCACCTATCAAAAGTTCTTCATTTGCAGGGATACCTATCAAAACCATATCAAAATCGGCCCAAAATTTTTCTTTCACTTCATCCTTGCATCCAGCTTGAGGTGCATACACGCTAAAAATATTCATAATTACGCTCTCCCATACTAATTTTAGTACTATTATTCTATCGTTCACTCTCTTTACATCCGTCACACACTCTTTCAGGGCACTATCCAATACTACACCCACTCCATTTCTCTTCCCATCACTTCCGCAGTAATAAAACTTGAACCCCTCTCCTATCTCTCTTGCTTCCGTACCCTTCCATTTTGTTTCTTGCAAGCATGCCACGTTTATTCTTCTTCTTTTCAACACATCTGCTAGCTCTCTCGCTCTTCCAGTCATAGTCCCTACATTCCAACTTGCATACCTCAACCTCACTTCTCGGGCTTGCTTCTTACGTTGCACCCGCCTCGGGTGGTGCAACAACCCTTGTCTGCTTGGGTACGCCCTTGCACTGTCGCACTCAATTCGTATCATACTTATACTGCATTATAGTGGTTTTGGCCAATTAATTTTATGGCCGGCCTGCCTGTCGCCAACCCTCCTTGGGAATGTAGTCGTTTATACGATAGGGAAGGGGAAAAAGGAAACATCGGGGGTGAGAGGATTGGATGAGAGAGGAAAATTAGGGTGTTGGAATACCGCAGTACTAGGATGGAAGACAGGTCTTAGACTGCGGTATGTACCAATATCCAGCGGTTGGAGAGGCCACCAGGACAAGTACCGCACGAACTGTATATATACTCTGTATAATTCCCTCAGTCGCCATTTACGACACCCACGGGAAGAGATGGGTTGGCCTTATTCTACTCCGCCGGGAACCATAATTTCCAACCATAATTTCCAACATTAGAATTTTCATCATTAAACATTTTTGGTATTTGTAATAAATAATATTTATCGTAGTGGGACTTATCCTATTGATCTTTCCAATCTCAGGACACGTAAGTTGAGATACAAAATGCTTTTAACACATTTAAATTTCGAAACATTTAAATGAAAATATAGTCACAAAAAATTTAAGAATGAATCAAAATTCGCTTGACATAAACAGAATTTTTCTATTAATTTTCTTTAAATCGTAATTTCATAAGTAGGTGATATCGATGAACGCGAGGATTCACCTGGTGAGGTCGCACAATTGATGTTGGAAACTTTATTAATAATCAAAAGTAGAATTTTCAAAACGCAATGTAGAACATCGATTCCTGTTCTATTGTGTGAGTCTTCATTAGGTGCACATATGAAAATGAGTTAAACTAGATATAAGTTTATTGGCAGGAAAAATAATACAAAAAAGAAAAAAAAAGATTTCTACCTATTTACATATTTTTTCATAGTTATAAACCTTGTGCCAAGAAAAACTTGTAACTTTTGAACCAGGTAGTTAATCGTGTTGAAACAAATACAGTAATAATAGGGACATAAAAATAAGGAACATTGTACAGCTTAACCACTACGCTATTTTAAAAACGAAAAATACTTTTTAAAACATTTTTCGCAATTTCACAAGTCTTTCTGGCAACACTTTTTGAAAAAAATTTCGAATCCGAATACCAAAAAAACATTCCTGTCTGTTCTGGTTCTGTTATTATTAGTTTTGTGCTACTGTAAGTTTGTATTATCTTGCCTGGAAACTGGTAGAAAGTTGATGTCATTGAATCGTTTTTTATTATATTGCATCAGAAACACTGCATGCGGATTTGAAAGTGTGTAATTCAGAAAGAACAATTTAAGACGACTAAGGAATAAATAAGTGAATTGTTTTTAAATATTGCTCTGTAGTTCAAAGGCCGAGCCGGTAATTTGGTGAAGATGTCTTTCCAGTGGACACTTATTGCAACATACCTTTATTTTGAAATTGTGATAGTTATACTTATGATGCTACCAATATTTAGTCCGAGAAGATGGAATCAGTTCTTCAAATCACGGTTATTTGCTTTGTTTCAACAGCATGCTGCAATTTATTTCTATGTGTTATTGGGAGTCTTAAGTCTATTCCTGATGGATGCTATTCGTGAAATGAGAAAGTATTCGCATAATGTGGCCGGTCTCCCACACACACACCTCTCAAGCGAAATGAAAGGGAACGTAAAACTCTTCAGAGCACAGAGGAATTTCTATATTACAGGTTTTGCTATATTCTTAGCTTTCGTAATACGTAGACTTGTCACTATGCTTATAATTCAAGATGAATTAAGCATGAAGGCCGAAAAGATCATAAAAGAGGCTGAAGCTACTGTAAACCTGGCTAAGACAACTGTTTTGGCTAACACTTTGAATGCCTCGGAACAGAACTATGATGATATGAAAGAAAAACTGGAACTGAAGGAAGATTTGTTAAGAGCAGAGCACAGTAGGATTAGAGAGTTGGAAGGAGAGATTTTAAAATGGAAAACTAAGTATGAAGAAGCCATTGCTACAGTTAGTGTGGGGAAAGGTGATGAGTAATAATATTTTTCTTGTGTAAGGATGAATATATAGGTTTTAATATTGTATAACAAGTGTGCTATTAACTAAAACAAATCATTAAAAAGTTAAGGGAAACCCAGTCAATACATACATTGGTGCATTTTCTCAATACTTTGTTAGTATTTTAGTTAATAAAAAAAAACCTATTTTAATCACACAGAAACACAAAATAATTATTTATGAAATATAAATTATTTCGTGCCTTTACATAAGCGAACATAATGCAATATATTAAAAAAAAAATGTAATATGAAACTTGAGATTAACATATATTTTAAAATGTTGGTGCTTTTTAGAATTTTAGGGATTTAAACAAAGAACAATTTGTTATCCTAACATATGTAATAAAATGCTAGTCTCATATATATAAGTGTAATATAGTGTTTGTAACAAAATTCTGAGAAAAGAGATTTAAATTGACTTGATTTTTGTCAATGAATTTTAGTATTGGTCAGTGTTATAATTTATATTGTGAGGTGAATAAAAATTGTAAATAATGAACATCATAATAAAAATACAGTAATAAAAATAAGCTGCAAAATAGAATTCCACCAAGTTACATTTTCAATATTTTAGACAAGTAAAAGTCTAATATAATAATGTTTCTAGGAAATTATTTAAAATAATCTACATAAATATTTTACCACCTATGTGGAGTAGCAGTAGTGAACTCTACTGCAACTCTAGTAGTTGTACCAAGTGCAGATTTTTGTATGCATGAACAAATCTATTTGCATTGATCTGGGTCTTTTTAAGTATGTTTATCTACATTCTATAATATACTGTGTAATAATATATAAGCCCCAAATAAACATTAGAAGCAATGGAAATTCTTATGCAAGCTAATTTCAGTTCTTTTAACTTTTTTTTTTTTCACCTGACAATATGATGATTGGCTCTCATGCAATTTTAACTTTTATTATTCTATGTATATTATGTACATTGTCTGCTATGCATTTTTTTACTTTTTATAAATTAATAAAACTATAAAAAATATTTGTGTTTGAATGTTTAGTTTAGTTCCAAAAATGAAATGCTGATAAGATTTGTTTTTGTTTATAAAACATTATAAAGAAAGCTACCTACCCAAATATTAATACCATTCATCATGATCAGTGGTCATTAAAATCGCAAATTATACCAAGTTAAAGTATACCAGTCAAGTTTAAGGTCACATTTTTTTTGATGTGAAACATCTAATGAGGAGGAGGAGTGTCATATTGTATTTTAAGTAATAGATCGATACTTAAAATACCTACGTATTTCCAATAAGTAGCGACGAATTTTGGCATATAAACAGCTAGAGAGATTCTCCCCAGGTCGGCCACCTAGAAACGCTTATAACTTTTGAACCATTGACTGAGGCGAGATAGGCTAAAGGCTGACATTAGGCGAGATATTCCGACCAATTGGCGACTTAATTTGGGAGGAAACATCTTCGTTAGGTGCCCTAGTTTATAAGATATGAGCGTGGCCAAGCTGGGAAGACTGATCCCAGGTCGGCCAACTATGACCGCTTATAACTTTTGAACCAGTAAACGACAAGTTCTGATATTTGGCGACAAATTTAGAAAAAATATCGACTATTTTTTTGTTACCTATCTAAATTAAAATCTCTGATGGTGGCCAAGCCAGTGTCAGTGACACGTTTTACGAGCGATGCCTCGATCACGGTACAATTATAATACATTATAATTGTACCGTGCCTCGATTTTTGATATTTTTCATATTATGTCTTCCTTCCTTGTTTAATACTGGACACGTCAAAATAAATTAAAAATAATGTCAAAACAAAATAAGATAAATGTCTATAATGCCTTCTCAGTCCGTTTATACATTCATATGATTAAACTTTAGAGTATTAAGGTACCTTTAAATGACAGACAAGCAAAGAATAAGTAGTAGTTTAATTCACTTTTTTATCTGGAGTTTCACCTGCCAAAATAATCATCTATACTAACATTATAAAGCTAAAGAGTTTGTTTGTTTGTTTGAGCGCGTTAATCTCATGAACTACTGGTCCGATTTAAAAAAATCTTTTAATGTTAGATTTTTGTTTTTAATGATAGTTTGAGATTATTTGCTGTTTTGATATGGCTCCGCCTCTTTGATACGATCCATGGCCCTCTACGGAGCGCCGATATGAGCCAAACTCCTATCGGCCTCCTCCCGCTGTCGAGCTAAGCTCAGCAGGTAGCGGCCATTCGGATCGTACCGGGATACCGCACCATTTCGTCGGAGGCGGCGACAGTCCTGGCACGTTTCCCGACTTTTGATATGGATGCGTGGGTCTATGACTGCTGTGGTAGGCGATAGGATATCGGCCTGGTCGACCTGAAATACATGGTCCGGGTCTTCCTCGGAGCACCTGAGTGCAGCTGTCGGGGTGGTTTTTAGTGGAAATACCACAAACTCCTGGCTCCTACATCCCCAAGGAGCCCGAGATCCGAAGGGATCTTCAAACCCATCAAGAAAAAGAAAAAAGAAAAAGGGATCCGACTCTTAGGTTCACCTCTATTATTTGACAGATGGTGATGCAGGTATGTCATGTATGATTATGACACATTTCTTGTATGTCATTTGATGCCAGTGATGTACTTCCTAAGCAAAATATTGTGAGACTTCAAAAAAATTAATATTTATCTTCCTGCTATACTGCTATTTTCAAACTATAAAGTATAACTGTGCAGCAATAATTATGTATATAATAATGTTATTTTAATAGTATGTGGTGATTAGGGACCCGTTATAAAGGGTACCGTTACGTATTATATATGAATGTAAGAATTTTTAATAGAGTTAACCATCAGGTAAGCTATTAAGTTTTTTTATTGTAAGTAATGAACTATCCATAAAAATATGTATATTAGGATTATGCAATTTGCGTATTTAATATAAGAATAATTGAAGACTTTCTAGTTCATTTATTTGTTTGTGTAAACTCGGGTAATCCCTGGTACTGTAATAATAACAAAACTCTTGTACACCAAATAATACAAGCACAAGTAAAACGTAGTATAATGCAGTGATTAGCAAAATATTGCACTGTGGCAGTCTGATCATGATAGTTGGAATCTGATGTGTCAATCTCTGTCACTGTCTGATTTGAAAAAGTCTTTTTGTATTGGAGAAAGGACACAATGGACAGAGTGTGAGCGTACACTGACCAAGACCGGGATAGTTGGCTCTCCTTGAGGGAGGCTTTCATTCAGAATGGTGTGGATGGTGATAGGCTGATCATGAGAAACTTTGAGAATCTTTTTACAACCCTTAGAAACTGAGCACAGACCATAATTCAGGTCAAACTGCTACTGATTTTATACAACACAAATATTTATTTCTTCATACATGTGAATTTAAAGAAAAGCCATATACAACATGCATTAATATAGTTTTCTTTATATAGAACTAGCTTTTGCCTGTGGCTCTGCCCACGGAAATGTCGGTTATAACGGTAAAAAGTAGCCTGTATTTTTTTCCTCAATAACCAATGTAAGTTCATACCAAATTTCATCTAAATTGGTACAGGGGTTATTGATTCCCCATACAAACTTTCACCCACCTTTTCACCTTCTTTAAAGATGATTTCTGGGATAATAACTACCTTATGTACTTTCCCGGAACTTGGACGATCTCTGTACCAAGTTTAATCTAAATTGGTTCAGAGGTTTAAGCCTGAAGAGGCAACAAACAGATATACAGAGACACTTTCACATTTATCATATTAGCATGAATTAATATTTAATGTGGTATCTGACCTGTTATAGTGTATTGTCAGTAAATTTCAATAATTATTATTATTGCTGTATTATTGTCTAATTAATATTTCAATCTTTAAATAAAAAAAAAGATTCTGTCTAATTGCAAACCTCCTCCTTTTTGAAGTCAATTAATAAACACAAGTGAACAGATTAAAAAAAAAAAAATATTTCAGAACAAAGATAGTGGCGGAATGTATTCAGAGTGGAGTTCCCTGCCACTGGAAGGGGGTGGGCAGGGCGTGCTAGGAGCTGTGGGAGGTCGTGATGTAGTACTGGCTATTGTGAAGCAGTTGGCCTCACATGAGCCCAGTCCACTCACTACTGATGCTGAGGTATGTTACATTAATATCATGATTTGAGAGATACTCAGAAAGGATATTCTTTAGTTTGCCGCTTCCTACTAAGCTGAGTGTTGTGGGTTCGATCCTCACATATTTTTTTTTTGCCATTTATTGACACAAAAAGTACATTACGGTGTTAGCTGTAAAACGTCACATGGGACGACACTGTGTGATCTACAAATTTTTGTTCTGAGTCTGGGTGTTCTTTGTGTCAGTTTCATGTATGTTTGTAAAGTCCCCCGTGACACAGTATATATTCCTAATGTAGTTTTCTTTTTAAAAATAAATTATTTCACCACTAAAATTATGTGTTCTCACAAAATTGTGGGAATCAAACCCACACGGGTTCACTTACTATAACACTACCTTACATTGTGTACAATAGGCAGCCTTTGTTTCTACAAGACATCTTTGGACAGAAATAATTAAATGTGTGTCTAATATGTGTAAAACATATATTTTGTACGGTATTTACTAATCCTTCCCACACTCACCACTTTAACTCCTGTACACCAGGATCAACAGCAGTTGCCCACAAACATACCAAGTTATGACACTCCGGAAGTCCCAGGAAAAAATTAAACTGTCTTGGTACCCACAACAAAATGAATCAGAAAAAAATAGGAGTTGGAAATATAATAAATCCACTTCCCTCCTTCGCAAAGCGGGAGCCAAAATGAAGTAAAATAGGGATACAACCTTTTAAATACAAACACAAAATATTATGGGTCCTAAGTGAGCTATATTTGGTTTCTATAATATGTATGGTAGAATCGCCTTTGGACCATCTGTACAGATAGTATTTATATCTTAGTTATCAAATGGAAGTAATAATTATAGTGGCAAAATATTGTTAGGCGATTGGTTTGATTCCCACAATTGTGTGAAGAGGATAATCAGGTGGGGGTAGTTTATATATAGTTTCATCAGCATCATCATCATAAGTCTGGTTACCATAGTACAGACTCTAGTTTGGGATCAGAGTTCCGTGTGTAAGATGTGTAAGATTATTATTATTATAACTATTTGAAAGGTGGTAAAATTTGTTTCTTGGCACTTTTACAAAATATTTTTTTAAAGTAACATTATGAAATATAGATTGGTAGGCTAAGTCAGGGAAAAGGTTATAATTGTTGTTTTTGTTAATGATAGAGGAAAACCATTGTTTTATTGTCTATATAGAACAATAACTCATACAAGTAGGTTGTTGACAGTCAATTGCCATTATGTACACAACATTTTAACTTGACACAAACCCTATACCAACCCGTCTGGCCAGCGTGGTATAGTAGGCCAAAACCTCCTTTCTAAGGAGAGGCTTATGTCCAGCAGTGGACTATTAAAGGCTGTTGATGATGATGATGATGACACAACATTTTTGCCATGTAACATATTTTCTCTTGTTTGCCTGCCATCTCTGAGAATGATTTTCTGAAAAGGGACTCAAGTGTGAAATTTGACCAATGAGACCATCCTATACCATCCTATTGTTTTCTTTAGGACATTGGAAATATAAAATAGTGTGGTGTTACATCACACATCAACAGCCTTTAATAGTCCACTGCTTAGAAAGCAGGTTGACCTACTAAACCACGCTAGCCAGACAGGTTGGTATACGGTTTGTTTCAAGTTTTCCTTCTCTTTGCAGTGCTATTGTCTTGTATAGTTTGCTCCCTTAGTCGCCTCTTACGACAATCACGGGATGAATAGGGGTGGTGACACTCCATATTCATAATCCATCACCACACGAACAGGAAAAAGTGTGGTGTTATGAATTATAAATTCTCGTTTCTTGTTAATATTAACTCTACTACAGTGGTTGTGACTATTAGCAAATGTGTGTAAATAGTGATATACACACATTTGAAGACTACACTCTATTCAGATATAATAATAAAGCCTTTATTTACCGAAATATTACTTTTATTATCATTTCTTGACATATATTATCATATAATTAGAGTACTGTCTGCGACACTGTATAGTTACAGTGTCGCAGACAGCAGAGCAATGACTACTCAAGTATGTACATAGTGCTACGTACCTTAGTGATGTGACATAACTTACTAACGTAGTGATGTTACAACAGTATTACATAGTCTTAGTTAAATTTTTTGATGAAAAACTATGTAAAAAAGAGTTAAAAGAGAAGGTAAAACATTATTTAAACTAAAACTACACCTATATTACAAAATATCTCTTAATTCGGTTTGCCTTACAGCAAAGGCGTCCTCCAACTCTCTTCATTGTTTTTTCATTCAATTATACACAGACACTATTTCCAATATAAAGATGGTACCTTAAACCTCTATAAAGTTATACTGATAGCCTAAATTTTTGAAAATGTACTTTCTATATATATATATATATAGACAATAATAGAATATTCTTAAGTATGAATCTTCTGTTGTTGGCATTTCATCGATTTAATTGTTAAAAGTTAATAAGATTTCTTTAAACAATATTATATTTGTTTATAATGTAAATAGTTTTGTGATTTGTAACTGCTTTTGTCTTACACTTTTGCAAAGCCATGTATTCTCCGCCGGTGCTATCTAGTATTCAGAACACTAAAGGACAATGGCAGGTCCCCATACATAATTTTATTTGAAGTGAAATGACAGCGTTTAAATATCAAAAATGCCTATAACCCTTGAGAATTTATTCTTGAACATTCTCATAAAAAAAATACTAGCGAAAGAAGTCTAGGAAAAAAGATATTGGATTTTGAATGTTTCGAGGTTAAGTACTAAAATATTGTAAATGTTTTGTTTGAAACTAGATGGCGTTGTGTGTCATATATTCTAAAATATTATTCATCATTATTATTACTTATAAACAACGCTATTTTGCTGTAGAAAGTGTTAGCCGACTCTCTAAATGGGTGAAGGAAGGAAGGGTATTTGCTTGGCATGTATTGGTAAACAATAGAAAAAAATCTTTGCTTACATAGCAGGTGTAATACTAGCCATAAATACATAAATTTTTAATAATCATTTGAATAAATGTACTTCAATACACATTTACACAATTTATTTTATTATTTAGTTATTCAACAGTCAGTAGTTATGACATTATTTACTAAAATCTAAAGCATGCATCCATTATATTGAGATTAATGCACAACATTTTAAGGCATCACATCATGCATAATGGAGTAACACTAAATAAAATTAACATAAACATCTATGAGAGTTTAATACTAAACAAAAGTAAAACAACCAAATAAACTACAATTGCCTTGTGAGAAATGGAATGTAAGTCATGCGTGTAAGTGTCAAACGACAAGACTATAGTCCGTCAACGTCGTGCGCGACCGTCCTGCGGGGTGACAGATGGTGGCGGGGACGAGGTACTCACGATGTCAGCGGGTAGCGGGTGGTGTAGCGGTGTGTAGCCGTGTGCTAGAATGACGCGCTACCTCGCCCCCGCCACTGTCTGTCACCCCGCGGGACGGTCGCGCACGAGATTGCCGGGTTATAGTAAGTGCGACGACGACGTATCGACATTTTAAAAATATCGATGCATGTCTATTTATATTTATTTATTTTTAACTTTTTGCACAAGTACATGCATCGGCGGACTTAATGCCTAAGGCATTCTCTGCCAGTCGACCGATTGGGCGGCGCTGAGAAAGAATGAGGTAGGTGCATTTATGGTAGGGTATAAACGATAGTGGTTTTGTTAAATACCAACTATCTTGGAATTTGGTGTATACGTCGTAATACCACACACATACACATATATATACCTATACATACTCATAAATATATACATATATATATACATACACATACACATATATATATGAGAAAAATAAAAAAAATAAAAAATTTAGCCGATGAACTAGGAGCTCGTTGAATCTGCCATTTCGCTCAGCAATAGCTCTTTCACTTTCGTCTTAAAAGAGTACCGATTTGTAGCCATCCTGACTTCGTGAGGAAGCGCATTCCATAAGAGGACAGCCTGGACAAATAAGCCGTTATCAACCTACAATGTCTTTTTCTCATCACACTAAGGAGTATATTGTTTTAGTATTTTTCTGTAGGAAAATAACGTAACTATATTCTATTTATTTTGGTGTAGCAAAAATCTTTTAAAAAGAGTCAAAAATATTCTAAATTATTTCTAATTAGGTTGATTTAGTCACTACAGTACTAGTTACGGTAGCGTATGAGTAAACCCGTAGGCAGAAGCAAATTCATAATCATAATAGGTGAACCTTCGATAGATATTTAAGCCAAAGTTATAACAATCGCTTATCGATAAAACGTTCCATAATATAATAATGTCATTACGCATCTCTAGTCAGTTCGTGATGGCGATTCTGACATTACGTACTTAGGTCAAATAAAATCTTTAAAATATCCAATCTCTTATGAGACTTATACAACACATGGCGGTATAATGATAAATCATAGAAAAAATATTTAGTAAGTTTACTGTTAGTCAATTTTTTAAACGCTTCAGTTTTAGGTAAATATGTTTCTGCCATTGTTCTTTTTCTCTCTGAGTCTAAAAGGTCTCATACACATCTATAAATTTTTTATCTTACTCCGTGCAGGTAGAATGGGTTCTAGAAGTTACCCGCTTCGGACTTTCACTACCCCTTCAAGAACACGAAGCAATTCGCGACTGTGTCCGAGTATGCTGCGCATGGCTAGCGCCTCTGCTGCCGCCGACTCCGCCGGCAATGCCACCACCACCAGCCATCCCACCACCAGTGGTACAAGCGCCACACAAGTACGCCAGGAAGATACTGAGACATTTACAGAATCTCTTTGTACCTAGGCCCAATGAGAGTAAGTTCTATCACAATAATACAATATTAGAAGTGTCTATGGTCCAGCGTTCACTGACTCGTAAGTTTTAAATCGAACGAGATTTCTGATGCAAAATAGGTCTTAGAGTAGCTTGTGCTATTAATTCCTTCTCTTCTTGCAGTATAATACCTTCAAATATTTTATAAAGATCTATATATGTTTTTCATTGTTTACATGACTGTTAATGATTTGGAATATTTCGCCTGCCCATTCCCAATATTAATTTGGTCAGTGTAATATGTAGATTTTGAATTTGGCTGGCTTCTTTCATTGTCAGCTGCCATCCCTTCTTGGCGACGTTTTCAGATTCTATAAATGAAAAAGAAAAATTGTTGTGGCTAAGGATAGATAGGGAAGATAGAGTAAGATATACCGTAAGTTTCAGATGGGAAACAGGACAATAGCTCAAAGAGGCCATGGTCAACATTTCCCATATGAAACATGGTCAACATAGCAAATAGGAAAAACGTTTTTTGCTCCTGGTGAAAATATGCAATCAATCAAGCGTTTGTTAATTTTTAAACTTGCGCTTTTGGAAACTTTGAATATATTGCGAAAATGGAATAAATACGGTCGTTATTTTTCATTAAATGTCCTACAGTTGAATGATACAGATTCGATGCAATTTCTAGCTTTATTTTAAAACAATGGTTATAAGTATCTTATTACTTTTTGCAAGCTCTCACATTTATATACCAAATGGAATTGGGTGAGTTCTGCCAGCATGTTCAGAATTGATTCGTTTTTGGGCTTTTCTTACATATTTTAATTTTCTTTTTTTGTCGTCTTATCTTTCATTGTTATATACTTTTGTTGATTTGCTTTATAAATATGTTTTGACTATGATAGAAACGGAAGGTATCGCACGTCATCATTGCTATATTGACTCTAATAGGTTTGATTCTAGAGGTTTTAAATGTTTAATAAAGGACAAGGCAACCACCGAGAAGTTAAGTTTTTGTTCTTAGAACACAGTTCTTTTTATCACAGTTTATTTTGCATGTTTTGATTTATTTAATTCAATCATATGTATACATAATTGGGGAATTGGTTTCTTTGTAAGCATTTTTAAGCAAATTGACTGCATGGATGGCGTAGTGGTTTAAGCGGTCACCTCGCTGCTTCCTACTGCGCTGATTGTTGTGGTTTCGATCCCCACATGGGACAACACTTTGTGCAATATATAAATTGTTGTTCTGATATTCAGAATTTCTGGTATTTTGTTTATTCGTTTTGTGTATATTTGTAAAGTCCCCCGCGACACAGGATATATTCCTAATGCGGGAGTTGTCTTTAAAAATCTTTAAAAAAAAATGCCGAGCACTTAGCAATAAGAAATTTGTTATATTCAAAGCTTGTATGCGTACCTAAGACCAGAAAATTAAAATTTAAGAAAAATAAAATCTATACTAATATTATAAAGCTGCAGAGTTTGTTTGTTTGTTTGTTTGAACGCGCTAATCTCAGGAACTACTGGTCCGATTTGAAAAATTCTTTCAGTGTTAGATAGATAATTTATCGAGGAAGGCTATAGGCTATATATCATCACGCTAAGACCAATAGGAGCGGAGCACCATTGAAGAATGTTTCAAAAACGGAGAAAATTATTACTATTGAGAGACGCAGACGAAGTTGCGCGGGTCAGCTAGTATGTTATAATTGTAAAACAATGCGAAAACAGCTCTAGAAAGATAGGCGTCCAGTATATATTTTTACCTTTCCTGGTATGAAAACTGTATACAAAGACAATTCAATTTATAATGGTCAATGTTCTTAAAAAAAATAAACAAAGTTGAAATTCGACCACCAGGCAATCTTTCGTTGTTTTCGTTCTTTGTTTCTTTACTTCTGATAAATGACGAACCTACTTTCCAAGGACAGAATAGACTGTAATATACTTAACATGTCTATGTCCAGCAGTGGACTATTAAAGGCTGTTGATGATGATGATACTTCACATGTTTTGATTTATATTGTTGTTATGACAAGGTGGCGATCTCATCAGCAAGCAAGCAGTTCTTTGTCACCGTGTGCTTCGACTGGCTCGGGCCCTGGCAGACGGCGGGGCGCTAGGCGCAAGAGAGTGGAGGTCGTTGCTGCTGCTGTTGCTGGCTGCTGCATCAGCATTGCTGTCACCTCCTGCTCCTCACCACTCAGCGGCTGAGCAGCTTTGTGAGCGAGTGTTGTGTGTGCTGTTCGAAGTTTGGATATTGGCATGCCACAGGTATGTTTATTCTTTTAATACTTTGCTACTAGTCACATGTGCTTATAGCCACTATAACAGAAACCAACCTCAAAAATTGGATTATAAAAATCTAAAAATAAGTTTTCAAATCCAGTATTAAGGCGTTCTGCTAAAGAATATACATATTTGAGCTTTATAGAAGAGTATGGTAACTCTATTATTTACTATGGCAATATAAAGGTCTATCAATACTAGGATAAGATTTCACACATTTTCTCATCAAGATAAGCCTGAGATCCTACCATTGTGTGTAATATTTTGCTAAAACAAATCACTCGTGCAGATGCTTCCCGTCCCCGCCCCTGTGGCGTACATTACGCGAGCAGTGCATACGTTGGCGTCACCGTGCGCCTCTCACCGAGCAATGGACGCGCGCCTCGCTCTGTCTGACCGCCAGATTGTTGAAGCATATGTATGGACCACTCTTTCCCGTCATGCCTATTAGTAAGTTTATGATTAGTCTAGTTATAGGTTATAACTTTTAAAGAATAAGAATTGTGGTGCTGCCTATCGAAAAAAAAAATTGACATATTGGCAGCAATAAAGGTCGGTACCAGTATCAAGCCTTGTGGCACTCCACCGTTTTTACTCATTTCGTCGAAATAACTGCCTGCGTTCAACATGTTGGGCTTGAAGTTATATATCTTGTACACGATGCTCTGCAATTATATTAATTAATAACTCGATCTTGCCAGTAAATTCCTACATTTCTTTAATAAACCATTTTGTACTTTTGGATCTTAGTGAGGCTTTCGACAATATTGATAAAGGTATACCTACATGATTTTCTTATACAGTATACTCGTATCTTTTGATATTCTAGAAAGGTAATCTTATATATCAATAACTGATACTGCCATTTTCATAACCTAATGTTTTTTCCAACAGGTGAAGAAGATGCGAACTTGATCCCGGCTGACATGAGTGCAGAAGCTGTGATGCAGAGTTGGTACCGCATACTGCATACCATCGGCAACCCGGTGGACCTGTGCCGTCCACATGTCATTAGTCAGACGCCGGACTTCTTACAGGTCTGTCAGATGCTAGTTAATATGAAGTTTAACTGAAGCTGGAGTTTACTTTGAATTGATTTGATTGATCTTCAGAATTTGACGAAAACACTAATTAATATAGGCTAGATGCGTATTGCTGCGTTGTACTGTAATACTGGACTCGCTTTTATTTTTATTTTCCTTTAGTATTCAATCACTCAAGAAGAAGGCACACGAGATCCAAGCCAGCATCCATGTCTGCAAGCATTACCATCCATCTTCCACAAAGCTATGAAGGGCATCGCCGCGCATGTTGACGCCTTCCTCGGTATGTATTATGTGTATGTGTTTTTGTGTGAATTTGTGTATAAAGTAGTGAATAGAGATTTCTGGGGTTGTAAATTTTACTTAACTGGGTCTAATTGACTAGGGGGCGCCACTCGCAACTGAGGCATCTTTCGCAACTTCTGAACTTTTTGCTTTTGATTGCGATTTATGATGATTTTTACACACGAAATTTTAATTATTTTTCTTTATCCAGCCTCTTTTAGTATTTTTGTTTCATGTCATAGATAAAGAAAAAATGGTGTTATATGAAGTGGTTCTGTGCATATAGCATACCACCATAGTTGCCTCCTTTAGTAATTAATATTAATTATTTCCATGTATTTTGTACTTATATACACCATTTACAGTGTATTGTATAATAGAAGTTACATTTAAAATATATACATCTAAATTTTAATAAATATTTAGGTGTGATAGTGTACAATCCTACACCATTTTCTCTTTAATTAGCAACAAGGTATATTAACTGGTCAAATATTTATAATTTAACGATGATTTTTTATTTACACTGTTATTTCACAATTTTGTGTTTGCACTTTTCGTCTAGTGTGTGGTAAACTGTAGTGCACGTTGTCATGAACGCTCAACCTTTTAGCATTGTTTCTAAAGCGAATGGGGTAAATAAAAACTTGGATTGTATTGATAATATGATAAATAGCAGGATATATTGACAACTGAATTCTTTTGAATTTGATAAGAAGTGAAAATTAAATATTAGCAATACAATTGACTCAAAGTCCATTAACAATTGGAACAAAAAAGAACTTTGAACGGCTAAACTGATTTTCTTCCTTAGAACATTCTCGATCTAGTCTGTTAACAAGCTATCATGTCAAAAGTAAATCCCTTAGGATGTTAATAGGGGGTTTAAGAGTTAAAGTAAATTAAATCGCTTCTAATAAACTAATCTGTTCTTATGTGCTTTAGCGGCAATGTTTCTTAATTTAATAAAGAGTTTTCACTCACCCCTACAGTTTTCATTTACCAGAAGTTTACCAGCTAGTGTAAAATAGTCTTGCGTCATAATAATAGTAATTAAGTATTTATTTCTATCATATAAAGTTACACCGAACACTATAAGTAATGTACAGCTATGCATTTTAAATGATTTCTTTAACAATAGGCTGTAGTTTGTAATAAATAATACAAACTAGAATAGTTTAGAACATGTCAATAATGGTGCTTTTAGATTTGTACTTACCGAAGTGCAAGGCTTTAGCCCTTTGCGTGCGACGCATGTAAGCCTCTTCTAAAGAAAAAAGAAACCCCTTCTATTTATCTGTGGTATAAAGTATATGATCTTTCTACTCCTATTATTTAGTTTTAACTAGATTTCTATTCGTATAGTAGTTTTTTTACAATAATATTCAAGAGTTCTTTATTTGAAGTTAAGTTTTGTTTTATTTTTTTACATATAGGCTGAAAGGTTTGAATATAATTTAGGTTAAGGCTAAATTAGATATAAATGCAATTGCCGATTACTAGTATCATTAGTCGCACATGTTTCACGGTTATTCACGAGTATGAATAATTATTCTGACACTTTTATTTCTGGCATTTCAAAATGTATTTACACATTTCATATATTATAGGAGTAAAGTACAAGTCTAAGATGGACTCTAATGAAAATAATCATGGTTATGACACTGCCTATTATAGGGGTATATTAACGAATATAACGTTAATTCCTTGTTTTTGTCGGCTTTTAAATAAAAAATCAGTTCGTTTTGATTTACTTTTTGAAAAATGTTTAATAAGTAATTTGTTATAAGCTGTTTTTAACAAAAGACAAATTAACAAAGCATCTGCTACCGTGTATGATATTCTGACTGTTGCGAAGGTCTAGAAAAGAATGAGGCCGTCTGCAGTTCGTCTCGGACTTGTATTTTTTACCTAATATATTGTTTATAAGATATCACTTTGAGATCACATCACAAATCTGTCTAATGTAGGTTCACCTTTCTAAGTATGATTAGTGTATAATAAGTAGCACACTTGACGGTTGGGGGCTGGGCTCAGGGCGCGGGTCAGAGCGGTGGTGGGTGCGTGCGGGGGCGGGCGCGGGCGCCGGTGACGTCACGGAGGACGGCGAGCTCACGCCGCCCGCGCACCGCCGCCTCGCCAAGTCCTTCAGCGTGTCCACGTCGCGCCCCCGCGACAAGCTGCCGGAGAGAAGTAAGGAGTATTCGTGGCACTCGATCCATATCATTGAACTTATTTATTAGCTCTTTTATAATAATATGTTGTACAATGTATTTATAAATATGTCATATGTCTGAAGAGCAGCAGATAAGACACGTATATACACGTGTACGTAAACGTACGTGTATACGTATACTTACGTATGTTAAGTGTAGTTCAATTGTGTGGATCGAACTTGTATAACCTAAAATAGTTCAGTAAAATGAGATATTTAAACCAACTGAAATAAGTGTTATTCTGGCAAGAATATATCATTCTATTTATAAATATACAGATAGCACTGGAATGGAAGAAAGTAGTGAACTGACAAATGATAGAGGAGAATGGAGAAGAAAACTCATTGTGCTGACCCCAAATAGACTGGGTAGAGGGCAAGACGTTATGGCGTAGTAGAAGAAAACGTTAATAATTCTTAACTTCTATACACCAATAATATTGACATATGCTTAAGAGAATGATAAGAGGAGAAAATTTAAGCTATTGTTGTATCAAAACATTTTTGGCTAAATTAAATTGCATTCGTTTCCCTATAAATTAATATAAAAGTTTTTGTTGTGTTCTTAAATGAAATCATTTGTGACACGAAATGAACATCATATTTTGAATAATGATTAATGACAGACGCAAAAGCAATACAAAATAAATGCAAGTACCTACAAATTAAATCCTACAACAATTTTGCTATTTATGTATGTAAATTAATTTCAGTTGGTTTAATTATTGACATTTATAACATGTGATTATTGTAAGATTTTTGTGTATTCTTCAGGTTATCTATATTGTAGCTATAAAAATTTCAAGATATAAAGGCATTGTTTACACCTCACATTATAAGTATAAAAGACAAACGCTTAGCTTAGCCATAGTCTTATATTCTTTGCACTTTTATTTTTAGTTTAATTCTCCTTTTATCATTGGGTAAGTATTTTTTTTTAATGGGCTGTTTAAATTTTTGGCTTACAATTTTTTTTTCGATGTACTTTGGTATTCTTTGGTGGTTTCTTTCTTCTTCGTTTTGAATAATATAATACATCGAAATTGATCCTTAAGTGCTTGCAGTTAAGAATCAAATTATGAGGTTTTATAGTAGTACCTTTAGTTACAAAAGTTGCTGATTACTTGAAAGTGTCATTTCAAGACTGTTTCGAATTTACAAGATAATCAATTATATTTCGATATAATTATTTCTACTGTCTGATACTACTGATACTTTTATTTATTGTGTCTAAACTTAAACCGAGGCGTATAGTGAAATGATATGTAAGGTTGGAACCGAATAAAACTACCTGGTGTTCCATTTAAAAATGAGTCTATGGTCAGTTTCCTTATAGTGATGTGTCGGAGCGTTGGGAATATATATCCGCGAATAGTTTTAATTTGAATCTAGATCACCGATACGGAGCTGGATGCGAGAAGCCCAAAATCGATCTAAGTGGCGTGCAATGGGAGAGGCCTGTGTCCAACAGTGGACTGCGATAGGCTGATGATGATGAAGATAATGAATACGGATCTTAATTTTTTAAGCCAATCAATCCTCTCTGGCTATCTGTATGACCTTGAAAGGTCAGATGACGTTCATGACTAATTAATATGACATGATGCGCCGGGTTTGACCAAATGTTTGTTTGATCTGCAAATATTTGATTCGGAGTTTAGGTGTTTTCTATGTATAATATGTATGTATTTAGAGAAAGGAGAATATAAGTATTCTATCAGTCAATCTAGCTTTCATAGAATAAAAAATCTGGTTAGCTTCAAACAAGATGGCGTTGTGTGTCAGATCTATTAGAAAATATTATTATTATTACGCTGTCCATGGCAAAACATGTTGTTTTTTTATGGTATATGGGGACAAACGAGCAGACAGGTCACCTGATGGTAAGCACCTACCGCCGCCCATGGACACCTGCAACTCAAAAGTCACAAGTGCGTTGCTGCCCTTGGAGTCCCTCTCGTTAGAGTCAGCGGGAGGGGGGATTTGGGCCCCGGTAACCCCGCTCACTCAGTGAAAGGCAACGAAAGAATTGCTTAACACCGGTTTTCTTTGAGGCAATGGTATCACTCCGGTCAAGCCGGCCCATTCGTGTCCAATAATTAACCTATTGAACTGTTTAGGATTCATTTTCTGTAAAATACACATGTCAATATACCTATTGAGTTATCAGCAACTTTAGTTTGTAACCGATTTTTATTTTATTTATTTTAACCTGTAAATTGCTTTTATGTTTATTTTGTCGACTGAATCAATTTCCCTCGTTAATTAGTTTAACCGTTCTAATGACAAGTAATATGTGTAACAAATATTCCGCCACACAATGCAGGTACTCCACGCACTTCACTGATCGGACTCACGAGCAGTCGTCCTCCCAGCGTCGTACCGACTACACCTCCCAACTCTATATCATCCCAAGGTGAGTCTTCATAAGGTATTATGATTGTAGAATAAACAATAAATTGCAGTAAACAAAAATATGTATTGTACCATAAATTAAATGTTTTTTTGTTTTTATGTAAATAATTTAATTACGAGTAATAAAGAGATCTGCTGTAAATTAAAAACGATAATCATTTTGCTTAATTTAAACACTAAAAAACAGCCTTGCTATATTTTAGCGGCTTCGTGTGGTTTTCCACCTTAAATGTTTTGTATACGTATTCTCTGTATCTTTTATCTTAACACTGGCGTATACATACATATAGTATATGATTTGAAAAAAAAAACGAGCAAACCTTACATTTTTATCATATGATGTGTTACATCTGACGGCCAACCAAAGCACCGCGAGCGCTTCCCGGTCTTCCTGTTACATACTTCCGTCTCTCATAGATTTAAGAAAGCGAGAAGAAAAACACGTCCAAGACGAATGTTTTTGCCAATGGACATTTAATTATTTTAAATAAGCCGATATTTTTTAATTACGGCTGCCGTATACCTATAAAATAAATTGGTAATACTTACTACTGTTGAAATACGAAACATGAACGCTTAGATACTGTTGTGACTTCCACATACAATAAAACGAAAACATACTTCAGTGCCATCTAACGGAGATACGCCGAACTACAGAGTAATTGCTAATCCTGTATCGCGATATGAATATTTCGCGTCTATCTTAGCTCTCACGCCGATTAGCATATACACAACTACCAAACCAACCGTTGGGCCGGGGTTCGCTATGAGGCATGACCACCTCGTCTAGTCGGAGGATCCTCCCTTTGTGTTAGACACACGTTCCTTCATAATACATTGGTCATATGTGGTCATTCGTCGTTTAGGGATGTTGAAGTTTAGATCGTGATTTTTACGTATAATTTGTTTTCCTTTTAGATATATTCAATTTAACTTTTATAACTTCTATAGATACATTTATTAAAATCATCAACATCAACAACCTTTAACAGTCCACTGCTGGACATAGGACGCTTCTAAGAAGGGACGTTTTGGCCTACTATACCACGCTGGCTAGACGGGTTGGTATAGGGTTTGTGACAAGTTTTCCTTCTCTTTGCAGAGTTGTTGTCCTGCGTAGTTTGCTCCCTTAGTCGGCTCTTACGACACCCACGGGATGAATGGGGGTGGGGACAATCCGTATTCTTAATTCATTTCATATATTTTTGTTCCGAGTGGTATTCGTGTATTTTTATGTTACAACAAGGCACACTTAAGTATACTAATAAGTTGTTTGTTAGACTTAATAATGATAATTGATTTTTAGTTGGTGATACAGAAAAACCGCCGCTGACTCCGCTTCGTCCAAAGGTGAATTCCATACTGCACTTGTTCGGTGAATGGCTGTTCGAGGCAGCACTTATCGGAACCACGCCAGCTTATAACAATCAACGTGAGATATTTTTTTAACATATACCTATATACATATATGTCCAACTGTAGATAAAGTGCTTTTTTGAAACATTCCCGATACCAGCGTCAACCTAAGATTTGGCTGCAGCATCAGGTCAAGGTTACCATATCATGGAAATACCACTAAAAACATCTTTCAAATCAATCTGTCTTATGTAACTTAGTGAGATCTCTTCATTAACTAAATAATGAACTGATGATCTTCACAAATTATACCTGAGAATCAGGTCGATAACGTCAGCTTTCAAACAAAAAAGCTGCATCATAATCGGTCCAGTCGTTTAGGAGCTACCATGCCACAGACGGACACACACGCACGTCAAACTTATAACATCCCTCTTTTTGCTTCAGGAGTTAAAGAGACAATGTATAAACGGACTTGAGCTTTTTAAATACGTTCAGTAACGACATATATACTGACAGATGTTTATAATATAAACACAGTCACGGCTTTCATCCTCTTTATGATTGGAGACAAGCAGTTTTCTTTTAAAGGCTTAAGCGTTCACATAGAACTGGTTTCTCTCTCTTTCATTTAATACATATTTGTAAAATTCAAATTGTTTCAGAACGTACTGAGGGTACGCCACCACCTCCATCGTTGACTGACGCCGCATATAAACTCAATATGTTAAGTTATCAACCAGGTACGCTTTTTTATATTTAAGATTACACTATACACGGTGTAAGGGACATCGTAACGAATACTGAAGTATTCGGTACAATGTCCCTTACACCTTGTATACATAACAATGTGGTTACTAAAATTGCATATATCATTTTATTTTAATTGTATAATTGTGATTACATGTGTAAAGTGTTGGTTATCGCGGGAAAAAGTAGCCTAGATCTTTCCTCCAGAATCAAAGTCTCATCATGCTAAATTTTATCTAAATCTGTTTAACGGTTATTGATTCCCCATACACATTTTCACCCCCTTAAGGATGATTAATAAAAAGGATGATTTCTTTCCCTAAAGGATGATTTCTGGAATGAATAAAAAAAATGAATGAATAAAAATTACCCTATGTCCTTTCCCGAGACTCGGACGATCTCTGTACCAAATTTCACTTGATTCGGTTTAGCGGTTTAAGCGTGAAGAGGTAACAGACAAACAGAGACTCTTTCACATTTATAACATTAGTATGGATTTAATCTGAGTATTGGGACCCTTCCTTTATTATACATTTAAGTATAATGCAGATTTCCGTTCAGTATCTATCAGTAGGGTATAGGGTATGTATGTTCCCGCAGGTCGTGCAGAAGCGCTGGGCACCCTGTGCCGCGTGCTGTGCTCGAAGCAGTGCCGCGAGGAGGTGCTGGCGCCGTACCTGGCGCGCTGCTACGCGGCCATCCACCGCGGCCTCCGGGACCCCGCCACCGCCGCCGCCGTCGTGCTCAACGCGCCCGACCTCTTCAGGTAACCTGCTCTAGAGTTAGTCACCCTCCCAGACTGCTAAACCGGAGGTCGAGGGTTCGATTCCCACTCGAGATAAATGATTTTGTGATGGGCACGATCATTTGTTCTGGGTCTGCGTGGTCTTGACAAACGCTTGACTTAAACGGGGTTCGTACCCCAATGCTCCGCCCGCGTGTATGTCGGTTATCGTAGGAAAAAGTATCCTTTCTTACTCGCTGATAATGTAGCTTTCCGTTGGCAAAATAAGTTTTAAAATCGGTTTAGTGGTTTAGGCATGAAAGCGTAACAAACAAACATACTCAATTTCACATTTATAATATAAATATAAAAGTATGAATATGTATGTAATCAAAAATATTTAGGTATGTTTATCAGTAGTCTGGTTACTATAGCACGGCCGTGTGTGAGATATGTGAAGTTATTATTATTATTAAAATATAGTGTACAAAAACAAATAGTTGGATGTTAAATTTAATACTAAATATTTTGTTATTTTCAGACTTGATTTGGACGGGGTTTTAGTTCTGGTTCCAGACTTCATAACAGCCCTAGATCAGATTCTATCTGAAAGGGAACCTAAACTGGAATGTGGCTCCATAGACAAGAGAGAATTACGAAAGGCGGCCATTAGTGCTCTATTGTCTTTGGTTGCTTTTCCTTATCATTACAAAGGATTGCCAGTACCAGAGTTTCCGGGATGTAATGAATAGTGAGTACATAATAATTAATATGGTTCAAATTATTGCAATATGCCATAAAAATATTTAAAGGTGTTTTTATTGTATTAATTTGCAAAACAAAGATTAATCTTACGTTTATAATAAAATTTTAATAAAACTCATCATCATACGGTGGATGGTGGATCGGTATTTTATTGGTTTTAAATCACTTCGATGTTTATCGCCCTGTAGTTCAAACCGTACTGTATTAGCGGCGAAGACGTGCTTGTTTTCGTGAGTTTTATTATACGATAGACCGTAAGAACCTCCTTGAATTATCTAGTAAATGTTTACGAGTATAAGAATTGTTTCCAAGAACCGAGAAGCCATTTTAAATATAAACATGTTTGTGTATAGAAATAAAGCTCATTGTTCCATGCCGTCCTGTTTATTATTACAATTATTATGCGGTTCATGAACTCTACCTTTCGAAGATTCTTGATGTTTCGTGACATTATCTATAATTTTTATGTATTTAGTAATAAGGAACCATTCGTGTGATCACGGATTAAGAATATAGAGTGTCACATCCCCTATTTATCGTGTGGGCGTCGTATGAGCCGATTAAGGGAGCAGAATCTGGACAATAGCACTGCAAAGAAAGGGAAAACAAACCCTATATCAACTCGTGTGGCCAGCGTGGTACATAGTCCAAAACCTCCTTTCTAAGGAGAGGTCTATGTCCAGCAGTGAACTATTAGAGTCTGTCGACAATAGCTAGTAAGGATGCGTGCGGTTCCAGCGCGGGCATGACGCTGGGCGACTACACGCGCGGGCGGCTGTCGCTGATCTGCGTGGCGGCGGTGCAGGTGGAGACGGCGGACGCGCTGGCCGTGCCGCTGCTGAGCGCGCTGTACCTGTGCGTGCGACACAACGCGCACGCGCCCGCCGCCAGGCCGCACAGCTCCACGCTCTCGCACAACACCGACTACAAAGGTACCCGACCGACGAGCACGATACATTCTGTCTGGTTTACTTTTTATATTTCGTTTAAAAAATTGCTTCGTTTTTTTAGTATTCTTTATTTCTGTTTGAAATATAATTTTATTATTTTTAGTAAAGTAAAAATATCGTTTACGTGTTTTTTTTTTATTTTAATTTAAAAGTAATTTATAAATGACAAACGCTAAATCTATTTTTATTACCACTGTTCATATTTTATTCGATTTATGTTTAGAATCCACTTGTGCAATATAATTGAGTACAAAACATCTTTGTCACTTAATATACCGATATAGTCTTAGCTTCATAACATCATCGCCTTTTACAATCAACTAGTAGCTTAATAATATCAAACGCTAAATAATCACGGCTATCACAAGTATACAGAGTGATAGTAAAATTGCACATACATACACACGTACACACATACATACACGCTACATTTATTTGCTATGACAATGCAAAGGCCTTAATAGAAACACAGAAGTAAGAAGGAATTATCATATGAATAAAAGTAAAGGATTATTTGCTGTGATTTTTTTAGCTATTTAAACTTAAGTAATCAAAATGTCAAAGGCAATATATTTTATTAATACATTTCTATTTACAAATATCAACGAATAATTACTTTAATGAAGAAATAAAAATGTATTTAATGAATAAATATGGTATAAATTAGATTAGGAATTGAATAATATTCCACACAAAAACTGTCATTAAAGTCCATTGGATATTGCCGGTAAATCCAATGAATTGTGATTTAAAACACAAAATTTGTGTATTCTCAATGTGATCTTAGCCGTTTAGTAAACAAAGGCAGCAATGTAAATCAAACACCACTGTTGACTCTAATGGTAGAAGCGAGAGTGGTATATTGTAAGAGCGTATAGAGAAGTGTTCTAAAGCTTGTTGCGCGGTGGGTTGCGCGGGGTGTTGTAGCGCGCTCGGAGAGCGGCAGCGCGCCCGGCAGCGCGGAGGGACAATCGCTCGACGACTTCGCCGCTGACGTTAAACAGCTAGACCCATCCTCGCCTGTCTTCGGTAATTACTCACCTTTTATTTGCATTTATAGTGCAATGTGTTGACCTGGACACTTTTGATTTTATTTTACTGTAACTGCAATTTATCTTTCTCCATGCAAAATATGCCATGTGAGCAAAACCACTGAAATAATATGAAGGTTAGACATATTCGAGTTTAGAAAATAGTGACTTATCGATCGATCCCCGCCCCTTGACCGATCAGGTTCTATACTTTCGTTCGAAACTATGATTTCTTGGATCCAGATTAGTCAAAGGGCGGGGCTCGATCGACGCGTCATTATTTTCTTAACGCGAATGGACCATACGTGCCTATGGGATTCATATTTCTTTTTGCGTATTAAGTATTCCGAAGAGATAAAGTAGCTTAAAACTACTATATGAACACAATATAGTTCAGTTACTTTGTAACTATATTGTAACTAAACCATTCTTTGTAATAATTTAAATGAAAAGGTCTATAAAATGTTTAAATTTACAACCGAATACCATCGGGTTTAAAATTTTTAACTACCCACCTTAATTTAATTTTATATACAAAAATGGTATTATTTATAAACTATTTTTTAATAAATACGTGTAAGTCATGGCGTCTTTTGGTCAATACATTGCTCTTTTATGAGCGCACTGAAGGCTTTTGTATATTTTTTTTATGTTCAATATTCCGTATTTTTAATTTTCCGAGTGATGCCACGGCCTCACAGAAAACCATTGTTAAGGAAGAGGGTAAGGTTACTGGAGCCCCCTCCCCTCTCCTTATAAATCTGGTGGAGGGGGAAGTGGTAACCCCTTAAGGACTCTTCTTAAGGACGGCAACGCAATTGTGTCTCTCGAGTCACAAGTGTCAATGGGCGGTGATCACTTGCCATCAGGTAAACCGTCTGTTTGTTTGCTCCCTATAACGTAAAAAAATACAATTCTGAGCCTTCAGTGCGTACATCAACTTTTTTTGTTGTTGTTTATGCTTGCTGTTTTTTTTTAATTCGTGATTTTACATTCATGTATGTATCATTATTACATTCATATAATAAGTGTTGTAACTGAATATAAAACTGGATATGTATTATTATGTTCATACAAGGGAATAGACGCGATCACGTTAAAGAGGTGGACTTGGTCTTACAACCATTTACGTTTTAAAGGTATGTGGTACTCGTTACGCGATCGCGTTCAGACCCGTATACGTACAATACCCGTACATTATACGGTAAAACGTGTGAGACTGGTAGTCAGTAACTGGATAAGGATTTAAATATCTTTAAACCTTTTGGCCTTATTTCCTTGATATATGGTTTCCAATTCTATTTCTCAGATTTATTCTATAAAATCCTAATAATGAAGTAAATAAATCCATTCATATTTGACATATTAATAGGGGGCTATTTACATTTTATATTACACATATACCTAATCACAGAAGAATTGAGTATCTTTAGTATTTTATTCATCAAAATTTTAAGCCCTCTGATTATTACACTATAACCGTTTAATATTAGTGCCAAATCTGAGCTATAACAATTACTATTATGTTACTATCATCAAAGAACATGTGTAGGTGCAGCACTAGTGGTCCGTGCAACTTACCTGGTGTGCCATCGTCTAATATCCTCCTGGAAAGGCGATCTTCAAGTGTCCCTTGCAGCTTTGGAATTGCTGTCTGGACTAGCCAAGCTGCATTCGTCAAAGCCAGGTTAGTATTTTAACTTATTTTTAAATTGTACAACAACTCGTTTGTTCACTCATGCATTTGCTAATATCATGATTCCAAAACCATTCTGCGTTGTTAGTTTTAATCTCTCTAGTTCAGCAAAAAAAAAAAAAATATTCGACCGGACAGTAAACTACGCAGGATAACAACACTGCAAAGATAAGGAAAACTTGACACAAACCCTTTTTTTTTTTTTTTTTTTTTTTTTTTTTTTTTTTTTTTTTTTTTAACGTGTGGAAATCCCCTCGGACCGTCACCCCTCCGGGGTTTGCGGCGGGGTGGTGTGTCGGACTCGGACCGACTAAAACCACACGGTGTGCCACTCTGCGCCTGTAACAGGAGGGATCCGGGAACAGCTGTTGTTAAGACATCCGGACCCCTCCTAGCGCCAGCCCGCTCCTGGTGCGGGCTCCGTCTCGATGTTTTTCCTCTCTTTATAGGCGACGTCCGGCACACGCGGACGCCGCCCCCTCGCGGCTGGCCAAACTAATGCGGGTGGAGGGGAAACCCACCCCGTCCACCCGCGGCCACACTCAGGGCGGCATGAGGCTGTGATAGGCGGGCCTCCGCCGCCCGGTTCGCCGGCGGCGGATCGCCGGCCCACCGAGGCCGCCCACTCCTCTACGGCCTCGCCCCTTGCGTCCGTCCTGGGGGAACCCCACGCAATGGACTTTGCGTTGAAGTCCCCCAGCACAAGGACGTGCCCAGACGCTAGTCGCCGTATCGAGGTCTCCAAGCTGGTTAGGAAAACCTCGAAGTCGTTCAAACTCCGGTTGGGGGAGAAATAAACACCATATATGGTGATCCCCCCCCACTCGACGGCAACATATCCAGTGCCCTTGTCTCTTAGCGACAAGGGCGGGGAATGAGCCGTCGTGGAACCGACGACTGCCACGGAGCCGTCCCAGTCACCCATCCAGTTTGGACGGGGAGGGACAGAATAGGGCTCCGCGACTACGGCAACACCTATCGACCACTGTGCCATGGTTTGCAGGAAGAGATCCTGCGCCGCGGCACAGTGGTTCAGGTTCGTCTGGACCAGGAGGCTGGAGACCCGATCCATTACTGGATCGTCTCTACAGCCTCCTCCATGGGCGACGACGTCGACGCACGAACTACATCGGAGGCAGCCTGGGTCGACTGGCTAGCCCCCGATGCTTGCTGAGAGTTGCGGGGAGGCTTGCAGCCCCCCTGCCCCATCTGATGATTGGCGGGCTTGTTACCCGACGCACACACCGGGCAGTGAGGGGCGGCAGAGCATTCCACCGCCACATGCCCCGGTCGACCACAGCGGAAACATAGTCCGCTGCAGTCGAAGCAGCTTTGGCACTTGACGCGCGTGTGCCCCGATGCTAGGCATTTGTAACACCTCATCGGTCTCGCCGCCAGGACTGTGATCCTAGCGCTCACGAAACCGATGAGCAGCCTGCCGGCGTCGGCCAATACTTTGGCCTGTGGCTGCAAATATTCCCCGCAGCTTCTCAGCGAAGGAGTCCGCCGTCTTTGCGCCTTCAGCCCCAGGGAACTCGAGAACTCGAGCTCCCGTCTGGGCGAGGCGCATCCTGACCCCCACCGTCCCAAACTCGTTGGCGAGGCTGTCCCGGGCCTTTTTGAAGACGGCCGCATAGGACAGCCCGCCGTCAGCCGCCTCCGGGGACACGGTCACAACTACAGCCGCGGTTTTGGGCGGCTGCAGCTTCCGCGGCCTCTTTGCAGAGGCCGTTGCCACCGGTGGCGAAGGCTGGGCTTGGGCTGCTTTTTGGGCAGCCTTTCTGGCCCGCCTTCGGGACTTCTTGGAGCCCCTCGCCTCCTGCCAACCCTCATTGGAGGGGGCAGGTGCGGAGGGGCCCGGCAGGGGTGTCGGAGTGGGGAGCGGAGGGAATGCCACTCCGCTCCTCGGCGCCGTTTTAGGCCCCGTCTTGGCCGGCGCCTGGGGATGTGCCTTGGCCGGCGCCTTAGCCGGTGCCTTGGCCGGCGCCTGGGCCGGTGCTTTGGCCCCCCTCCTAAACCCTATACCAACCCGTCTGGCGAGTGTGGTATAGTAGGTCAAAACCTTTCTAAGGAGAGGCTTATGTCCAGCAGTGGGCTGTTAAAGGCTATTGATGATGATGATTCGACTAGATATTTCGTCTGCCGTGTGAATAAAAATATTTTTCAGAACATTAAAAAAAAATAGACCATAAACGTTCTTCATTATGTGTTCTTTTAAAGTGATGACGAGGAGTCGAATTTAGTATCTCAGTGTGATACTACTCGGTTTCATTGTTTTCATGATTTATACTATGATAACTATCTTTAGTAATTAATTTTAGATTTTAACGAATTTGATTTTTTTCATGCTTTCTAGAATTTGTTATCGGTGAGTTTAATAATCAAGTTGTTAAGTTTTTCGATAAATTTAATTGAAATAAAAAAAGAGCAGAAGGTAACTTTTAACAATGGGAAATAAATTAAATAAAAAGAGGTAAAAAAGACCTTTAAAGGGTTAATAGATTCCGGTTTGTTGGTTTACCTACTACTATAATACCTACTATTTCATTCGTCCTATACGTTTTCGTCACCCAAATATTTCTTCTCGAGAGTCTATAAACGATTACATTCCACAACAATAACATAACCTATTAAAAACCATCTAAAATCCTTTGTTGACCTTGACCTCAAATAAAAATGGGAAAAGTTCGGGCAATAATATGACGATGATACGATTTGGTCAACAGAGGCGATCGAACGCAAGCGTGCTGTTCGGTGGATTTGTGACTACATAACAGTTCAGTGCAGCCGGCCTCCCCAGGCGCACTCCCGCGACTTGCACTCTTGTGTAGTGGCCGCCTACCAGTGTCTGGCCGCGTGGCTCTGTCCCGCACTACTTGCCGACCAGGAGTGCATAGCTACCTTACTAGAAGTTGTCGAGCTTGGCATCTCGGGAAGTAAAAGTCAAGGTAAGCTTTTAAAGCCCACCGAGGCACTTAGTCATGTTTTTCGACGATTCAATCAGGAATTTGCTATTTTTAAATAAAATAACGCCATTTAAATGAAATTGAACCATAAAATAAAGGTACACTAAGTTCATTTTCCCTATTCTATAATGCAATTGGAGATAAAATATGATGTTTACGCATAATTTTGCTTGGCATTTTAAATTTTACTGCTTCTTTTGTTTTTGGCCAGCTTTCAGTCAGTTGCAAAGCGCAACTGACTGAAAATATTCTTTTAGAAATTAAAAAAATCTAATTTTCAGATTGTCCTCGCAATATTATGTGTTTAATAAACTTGTAATTATTATTTTTTTATTCAAAGTCAGACAAACTTACTCTGGATATTGACAGATGATTAATCAATAAATCTTTTGTTTTTGAAACCCTAGGCAAGCCTGGCGAACCTCCAAAAATGAAGGATGAAAAGGAGCTGAAGCCTGTATCAATGAGAGTCCGGGATGCGGCTGAATCTCTACTTATGTTAATCTTAGAACAGGTATATAAACGTTTTTAAATTAGAATTCCATAACATTGAATATGCAGTAAAAATTGGCATTTGATATTATTACTATTTTAACTGAAGTTTTTGAGTTTTAATAGACATATATTTAGTTTTGGTTTTTTAATATTTTGTATTTGTACAGCAATTACGCAACGCTGGAAATGGTTCGTCGTGGTGTCGTTTAGATGAGCGTTGGCTGCGTCAACTCGGTCACGGACGGTTGAGACACTTTGTCGCGGATGGCAATATTTTGTTATCACTGCTGGAAGAGCCGCTCAGCAATAGTCAAGAACCGCAGCCTACACTTATTGGTGAGATATTATTAAAGTACGAAATTAATTGGTGTGCAACTACTAACCGTGGCGTGGGAGAGCAACGCTTCGATAGAAATGGGCCGGTTCGATCGGAGTGATACAAAGGCTTCACATCACAGTCTGTCTCATAAAAGTTAAAGATTATTAATAATTAAAAAAAAAACCTACAAATAGGCATTAAGTCACGTGACAGCGAACACCAATCAGAAAGTGTTACGTCACGCCACGCAAAAAATAGATATTAAAGTAAATATTGGAACGAAGTTCCTTATCGCGCGTTGTGAAAGGGGGACGGAAAAAATTCTCACGAAAAGTTGTAACGACACTTTTTATGTCAGTCATTCAGCGCCATCTATCGAATAGATAGGAAATCATTACTTTTCATCTCAGTATTTATTTTGAATTGTCACTTGTCAGTCATTCAGCGCCATCTGTCGAATAGATAGGAACACATTTCTCAAGGAGATTTTACCAATGTATAAATTGTTTTAATTAGAAACCAACTGAAAAATGAGTAGGTAATAGGCGCTTTAATAGATGGCGTTGTAATTAAAATCGTGTCGAATCAGTTTTACTAGATAGTCACAACTTCGTTCCTATCGGGGTCCGACGACACCACACGGCTTTTTTTGAATTTGGGATAAAATAGATATTAAAGTAAATAATTAACCAAGTTTTCAAATTGAGCCAACTAGCCTATTATTTCGTTATTTTTCACAAGTGACTGAGGTTGCCAGAGCCCAAATTCAAAAAACATACATAGGTACATTTCCGCGTCTTAGTGTTTGATGTTGTAATGTTAATCTAGCTATAACTGTTTTTTTAAATCTTCATTTATTTACAGGCTTTTATTACAAAATAATATGTTAGCCCCATCGTGGCTTATTCTAAAACACTAACTACGTTGTGATAGGAGACAGAGAAAGTCGTCGCGCAAATATCTTAGGTTACTTAGAATACTAATGAATAGTCCTATATCACATATAAAGTTATTGTTATATGCAGTGATAATCCGTTGCGGATGGGGCCGCTACGCGTGGTCGGTGTCGAGCCGTGGCGCGGCGCGCTCGGCCGTGCGGCTGCCGAGCGGCGCGTGCGCACGGCCCGTGGACATGCGCGAGGCGCGCCCCTCCGCGCCCCCCGTGTGCCGCCCCCTGCCCCCCGCGCCGCCCTGCGCGCTGTGAGTTGTACTATTGCATACTTAGTGTATATACGTATAGATTATTTCTCTAATTTTTGTACACCAGTTCAAAATAAATCCAGTCCATCCAAAGGTTGCCTGGAAGAAATTGCTCTAAGCGATAAGGCCGTAAGGCCCTATGTACATTACATGTGTTTTCGTTTTTTTACTTTATAATATCTGTAAAACCCTGATGTACTAATAAAGTATTATTTATCTGTCTATAGTATACACATGTGCGAGGTGCGCTACCCCGGAGTGCCCTGTGTTTATAATAAAAATAGATATTTTTATTATTAAGTAATAAGTTGGCTATGGGCGACAACCCTAATTTACGTTTAAATGTACAAATGGGTAGCTAACTAAATTACCTGTAAGCTAAATTGAATTATTTTTTTTAGTGATTCAGCATTTCCAACTTTGGATGCGGTAATTCGTCAGCTAAACGATCCCGACGCACCGAAGTTGTTCAAACTCCTTGAACAACAGGCTGCCATAGAGAAGCGTGTCAAGGAGAGCGAAGATAATGCGGTGAGTTTCATTTTCGTAGTATGACTATGATTTCAACTTTTTAACTCAAAACTTAAAGTGCGTTTTTAACTGTACTAGAGAAGCTTGGTGGTCGAATGTCGCCCATTTTGAATGCCTTGATTTATTTTATGGACCGGTGTAACCTGAACTCTCACTGTATAAACTTTTGTACCATGACAAGTAATGGATAGCTTTATGTAGCCGTGTTTTATAAATTAATTTTTAACTTTATAGCTAATAGTATTTTAAAGTTATATCTTTCTGCTCTTCTACTTGTAAACATTTGTATGTATTTACAAAAAAAGTAAATATACGTAGTTTTCTATCTGACAATCTAGCTTTAATAGTACAAGCTCTGCTTAGTTTGCAAGTAGATGGCGTTGTGTGTCAGATGTCCGAAATATTATTAAGTAGATACATTAAATATGTTTCCGTACGCCTTATTTATTTAAAGAACGTCACAAAAAAATATTCTCTTATTAAAATATAGTCATCATCGTAGATGATGGGACGGAAGTAACAATTTTCTTCTTAAAAAACCGTGACTGCACAATGTTGCATATGTGACGACTCCCACATCCAAAGAAACAGAAACATACTACAACGCCATCTAACGAAGACACACCGAACTACGGAGTAACTACTGATTGAGATTTGCTAATCCTGTATCGCGATATGAAGAATTCTCTCGCTGATTAGCATATATACAACTTCCCAAAATCAACCGTTGGGCCGCGGCCCGCCAGGCATAATCACCTCGCCTGGTCGGACATGACACCCGTGCCTCCACACTTATGTATAATTAAATGTAAATTATCTTTCTAGGTACCAGAAGAATATATACCCCCAGAACCGGTGACAGAATTCCAGACTGCTAGACTATTTCTATCCCACTTCGGATACCTAAACATAGGTGGCGATAAAAAGGGCACGCCGCCTCGTCTTATAGCTCTTGACGACGCGAAGCCAGGCTTTTCAGCAGCCCTCCGTAGGGTGGACGCCTGTGGTGCGAGAGCTGCAGTCACGGTGCACGTGTTCTGTGCCCGGGCGGGGCAATTGAATGCCAAAGATATTGTATCAAATGCACATTCGCTGAACACTGTTCCACCGGCATTCGTCAGTATGCTTAGAGGGTATGTTATTATATTGTTAATATGTGCTGTTATATGTTCCTCCTTTGAAACTAGATGGCGTTGTATGTCAGATGTCCGAAATTGAAGAAAAGGTAGTAAGATGATGGTATTAGAAAGATTTATGGGGATCAATAAGTTATAGGGATGCAATAATTTATAGGGATGCAATAGTTTATAAGGGTGCAATAGTTTATAAGGGTGCAATTAGTTATAGGGATGCAATAAATTAAAGGCAGGCATAAATTATAAACCTCTATTACAAATTGCTGCGCAAGACATTTTATGAGTCGGTAATAATAAGGGGCCTGACATTTAATAATGGCTTAAATTTATTAATAAATTGGTTTCATCGTAATGTAATGTGATATATGAATGTTGTAGTTTGGGTTCGCCGGTCCGTGTACGCGGCCACCCTGGCTGGACGGGCCACGTCGATACTAGCTACGACGCCAGGGTCCCTCTGCCCCCTCAGCCGCCATCCAGCAGGGAACCTTCACCGGCTATGTACGACGGGAAAGAACAGGTGCTTCAGATGAACAAATAAACAACCAAATAGACCACCATTAGGTTTTTTCAGTACTTCTGAGTGCACTCGCTTTCTGAGTTCAGTTTAAAGTTATAGTCCATTCGTATTAAGAAAATAGTGACGCATCGATCAAGCCCCGCCCTCTGACCAAGCAGGTTCCAAGAAATTATCGTTTCGTACGAAAGCTTGGAATTTAGTTCGGTTCATGTTTTTGTTGTTGTATAGTTTATGACAGATTTGGATAATTTTAATATCTGCTAAAATGTATTTACCAGGTTCTTTACTGGTCGGATTCTACTAACGAAATTGCGTTCGTGGTGCCGTCCGGTTATGAAGTTACTGATAGTGAAGATAAACAAAACGATAGTATCAAGTCTGACGTGGACGGATCCTGCATATCTCAAAGGTAAAGACTCGGTAACTTCTTTTCAGGGTCTCCGTTGAGGAGGTGGTACATGAAACTTTACATAGGCTATGGTAGTGACATCCATTTGCAAATTTGATCAATACAGTTTAGATTTCTCGTTCGAATGTTAAAGAGTAACAAAGAAATTTGTGTTACGTGTAGTGCGGCGGCGGCGGGCTCGAGCTGGGACGTGTCGGGCGGCAGCTCGGGCGCGGCGTCGTACGAGCGCAGCACCAGCGAGTCGGAGCGCTCGGAGCGCTCGGAGCGCGCCGCGCCCGCGCTCGGCGACAAGCTGCGCGCGCTCTCGCTCGACCTCGACAAGCAACCCTTCACAGCGCTCACCGGTACGCGCTATCCACTATCATTATACTAAATGTTTTCTTAACTGTGAACGATCTGCTCATCATATCCTCTGGGAATGTAGTCTTCGGTATAATGAACGTAATATAATGCTGAATAGCTTGCAGGTGACATCTGGGGCGGTATACTATGGGGATCTGTCAACCAGGGTAAATTTCCGTGCGTTTAGGCGATTCTGCCATACAAATTATAGAAATCAAATATCCACGGCCACAAAATATTATGACTCCTAAGTGAGCTCACTTAAGAGTCATAATATTTTGTGGTTTATGTGGTGTATGCCTATTTTACCTCATTTTGTCTTCCGCTTTGCTAAGGAGGGAAGTTAATTTACTGTATTTCCAACTCCTCCAATTTTCTTCTGATTAATTTCAAGTTGTTGAGTTTCAAGACAGTTTGTTTTTTTCTGGGACTTCCCGAGTGTCATAACTCGGTGTGGGGAGAGACTACTGTGGATCCTGATGTACAGGAATTAGTCCCATTTAAATGTTTTCTGACTTAGACCAGAGGTGTAATACGAGTTTTAAATTTTCATACATCCACCGCGTTTTGTAATGCTACGTTTCCGAAGATACTTAAAACAAGACCTCAGCGTGGATCAGTTCACAAAATTAGTAGTTTCGTGATATTATATCTAATGCTTTTTTGTGGATACTTTCAGGTAGCGGTAGGCGTAATAGAGACTTCACAACCAAAATTCTTATCATATGGCTGGAAGACTTTGAAGATCATTTAAATATACCGATAGGTAAGTGTGATGATAATATGACCTTTAAAAACCTGTAGGGGTATGGCTCGGGGCTTAAAACACAATCAACCAGCTTTCTCATACATGTTTCTTTGTCGTAAGCAGATGAGTAGGCAACAATAAATATTTTATTATTGACGTAGCATACATATTTACACGCTGCTGTGAGTGGTTGTAATCACACCGCCTCATGCCGCCCTGAGTGTGGACGCGGGTGGACGGGACGGGTTTTCCCCTCCACCCGCCATAACTGCCAGCCGCTATGTCGGGACGTCGCCTAAATAGAGAATGTACCCGAAGGTGGTGCCCGCAGGGTAGCGTGCAGACGCTAGGAGAGGTCCGGATTTCTTAATAACAGAAGTTCCCGGATCCCTCCTATTACAAGCGCAGAGTGGCATACCGTGTGGTTTTAGTCGGTCCAATTCAGACACACCACCCCGCTGCAAACTCCGGTGGGGTGACGGCTCGAGGGGGTTTCCACAATTATCTTGACCAGACCTATTAAAAATACGTAAATATAAGGAATAACTCATGATTATTAAAAAAATGTGTTGTAGTGGTATTAAGAAACAAAATAATGACGCAAGGGTAGTCGCGGGCTAACAGCTAGCGTGTAAGTAATAAACGAGATTCGATACAGACTCGCTGCTGTCGTACTGCGAGACGGGGCTGCCGTGGCGGCGGCACGAGGTGGCCACGCTGTGCGTGAGCGCGCGGCGCTGCGGGCTGGTGCGCGTGGCCAGCGCGGCGGGCGGCGGCGTGCTGGCCGACGGCGCGCTGCTGGCGCCGCGCCTGCTGCCCGACTGTCTGCGCCGCGCCGCGCTCGACGCCGCGCGCCGCACGCGCCTCAACACCGACCTGTACGTACCGCGCCACACGAGCGCACATATCGTTGGTACACATCCACCTTGACCACGCGATGTCGAGTGCCAATAATTTACTTTCTCTCTCTAAAATATTACCCTGCCACGCTTCGCTGTGGCTCATTGTGATTGCAAGAAATAGATAAAAACCATCTATGAAGCGTATCAAAATTGTGACTTCAACCGTGCTGAACTTTTTGAGCGTATGAAGCGTATACAAACCGACTTAACCTTTTTAGACAGAGCGTCAGGGACGTCGTAACGAATACTGAAATAGTGTATTCTGACCATCATTCTGAGTCTAAAATCATTGGGATTTCTCGCGGCTAATTCATTTATTAAAAAATTTCCTGTTTTTCGTTTAAAATTATATTTCAATGAGTAAACAGAACATTTTACCCAAAATAATTCAATAAATACCGCATGCGGTCAAATCTACAATGTAATTATTCAAACAACCGAAGCGCGCGGGCTTTCCCCCCGGCCGCCATCTTGTGTTAGTGCGCGAGGACTGTCTGCACGGAATACAAATATAGTTATTACTTTTGTGCGATATCTACAGGGAATAACCTAAGCTTTGACAGATGATTGCATATAACATTTAATTTTCCGGCAGAAAATTCCAATGACTTTCGACTCAGAATGATGGTCTGAATACACTATTCCAGTATTCATTACGATGTCCCTTACACCGTGAATATTATATGGATTAATTTGAAACATTTTAAAGTTGTTTGTCTTGACATACTTTGTGTGGCGTAGAAATTAAATCTTAAATTTTTCAGATATCAACCACCTCACGTCCGTCGTCGTCACTTAATACAAGAACTTGCACAACAATACAAGAAGGATTTAACGGAACCTGAACTGTTGGAGTCACTTTTTAGAACTCCATCGTAGACAATTTTATTACTAAGCAACGTACGTAAATGTTAATGAATTTTAGCAAGGCTTGAAAATAATTGATGTGATCTATTAACTTTAATTGAATTTCTTCATCTTCTATCTATTATCATCTCCTATCCTACAGTAGTAAGAAAGAGATATGAAAAAAAGAAGAACTTTTTTACCATATATAAAAGCGATCTGTGTATTATTTTCATAAATCGAAAATTTCATTATTTTAAATCTAATATTTGTTAATTATTTTTCAAGGCACAAATTGTAACATTTTTAACAAAAAAAGAGAGTTAGAAGATGCTTAACAAACAATTAGTAATTTGGTTAACATAAAAAAATAAATTTGTTACATGTGGGTATTTTAAAAAACCACAATACATAATGCATTATTATTATGTAAAGTGATTACTGTATGTGAAGACATACATTGCTGGGTTGTTATCAAAAAATTATCTCAGATGATATCCCTGAATGAACCAAGGAGGCAATGTACTTCGATTTTATACCTACACACCTACACTAATAAAAACGTAGACATGTTTTTGGACGTTCGTACTTACGTAATGTATAATATACCTTCAGTAGAACTTAGTTTTAATCAAGTTCTTGTGATACAAGCAAAAATAAACGTAGTCTTAAGTTTTTCTATATCGAATATAGTTAATATGTCAAAATATATTTATTGTAATGAATATTATTTAAGACTGACAGAATGCACGAACCAATGAAATAATATATTTAAAAAAAAATTGTTTACATTCCTATTTATAGTTCAGTATTTTATTCGGCATTATGTACTTAATGTTTTTGTTGTAAATTATTTTAATAAAAAATATTAATCAACTCTTTAATATTTTTATTTTTTAATGGCATCACAATGGCATAATGGCACACATGTAGGAACATTCTGTGGCTACGTCCACATAATATTGCTACATTGAAAAAAAACTTAATAACCATTTAACACCGACCTACAGAGTAACTACTAATCGATTAGTATATAAATAACTTCCCAACATCAACCAAGGCTCTGGTCCGCCAGACGTGATCACCTCGCCTGAAGGGAGGATCCCTGTGATGGAAGGACATAACGCCCATTCCTCCATAATTGTAACTTCTCATCAGAAGTTATGACCTTTATAATTTATTAAATTGAAAAACATACTCTTTGCCATCTTAACACGAGCGGGACACTACTTGTTCGTAACTATCTTTATTTGCACAGGTTACTCACTAGCAAAACATCATTACAAAAAAAGAGCTTGGTTGCTGTATAACGCCGCGCGCTTTTAACAGAATGCCACGCTCCGGCAGAAATGGGCGAATTATAGGATTAGGTATTAGAAGAACGGAGATCTCTGGCATGTCTATCAAAGTACTTATTAATTACAACATAAAATTTATACATTATGATAATAGTAATATTTCGGACATCTGACACACAACGCCATCTAGGTTCAAACTAAGCAGAGCTTGTACTATATAAGCTAGATTGACTAATAGAATATATACACTTTTTTTTTGTAAATACATACATATTATACATAGAAAACACCCAGACTCCGAAACAAATATTTGCAGATCATACAAACATTACATTACAGGGTCATTTATTACGAGTATATTGTGTGGTTTATTATTTGAATAGCTAATTAAATGCATGTTTGGATTATTATCTCCTGCCACTATTTGAAGCGATAAGCTCGAAGGGTGTATGTGTACCTATATAAAATAAGCCGTGTATCAAAACTTTCCAAAGATACAGTTTATTTTTAATTCAAATGGCTAGAGCTTAATTGTCATTCTAACGTCAACGTGTTCCAAAATCAAAATTGACATAAATTCTTTACTTATTCGTATAGTTTAAAAATTATTCACGCAAAAATTTATATAAAAACGTTTTTATCAATTGTGTTTGTAGATATTATTTTATAGTAAATATTTTTTCGACCGGGTGATATTCTAAAGTTTTATAGAAGCCAAATTTATGTCTAACCGTCATGTTGATCAGCAAAGTACCGGACGACGATGGAGGGAAAGGCGAGGGTCAATCCCATGTCGATGATAATACTCATGAATATCAAACAGCCAATGAACTTTTTGAAATGATGGCAAAGAACAAAAATTTTAATGCCAGTGGTGAGTTTTTCTGGGTTACTAATATATTTTTTCAATGACTTTTTAGATGTTAGTGTTGTACTCCGTCCTTTCAATTTTCTTTTTTGACAATAGGATGATTTCGTAACATCGTACTTCAAAAGGTGCAATGAAAATAAATAAATATTATCTACACCTATTTTCTAAGGAGATGCATATATCCACAATCGACTACCTGAGATGTTGATGATGATGATTTTCATTCATTCATACTATTTATAAACATTTGTAGTGTAAGTAACTCACGTGATTTATTTTTTTGGAACAAAACTAATATTTTTAATAAAATAAACAACAACAACAACAGCCTTTAATAGTCCACTGCTGGACATAGGCCTCTCCTTAGAAAGGAGGTTTAAAGGGTAGAAAGGAATAAAATAAAAGTATGGTCTTTTTTTAGTAATGAGTACGTGTTGTTTCTACATATTCATGAATTAAAACTGCCAATAATTTAATTTCAACTGCCTTTTGTCGTTAAAGTTGATTTGCAAAACATTGAAAATTAAGTTTGAAGTTCAATGATGAACAAATGAAAGCTGCAATCCACTAGATTAGTCCACGGATAGAGGGGTCACCTTGCCGAACCGGCGGCTGGTTTGCCCTGGTTTACGTAGCCTCGCCAATTGTACTTTCAAAAAGAAAATATGTATAGTGGACGGTGTAAAATAAATTTAATAAACATGTATTACCATCAGCTAACTTGAGGTAGCAACGCTTGCAAGGCTGATACTAAAATGCTAAATACATCAACTACACTGTTGCTACTTCAATATTTAAATAAAATATTGTACTAGAATAAAATGTTCTTTTTACTTTTCTTGCTACGTGATGTTTTTTTATATTAAGTATATTGTTTGTATCCATTCGACAGATGGTGATACCCTTACACCAAGAGATTTAGTTCTTTTGTACAAGAACATTGATTTAGGCACAAAACTCATGTCCGGTGCCAAAGACATTTCATGCGTGAAACCGAATCAACACGTAGAGACTGTTGTTTATCACGATGACCCTGAATCAGACGAGTCTGATGTTAGCGACATGTATAGTAACGAAGATTTGCAAAACGTATTTCTCGTAAATAATGAAAGACTAGACCTCTTGAACATTCCGTCCTCAGTAGGAAACACACTCTGTCACAAATTGGGAGATCTGCAAATCCAAACAACTGACGACATAGAATATAATAGGCAATTTCTATTCCAAGATCCTTTTATTAAAGAACAACTGAAAAACTTTAATTTATTCTCTAATAGCAAAGAGGTTGAGGCATCAGTACTACCAGCATCTCTACTCGACTACGTTTGTTGCAAACGTTTGGAGGACAATTACAATTTTTACATGGACAACATAATAAGATACGTGAAGAACACAATAGAACAACTGAAACGTATCAGTAATGGTGATTATTTAACTGATAAAGCTAAAGAAAAGTGGAAAGAAGTAGAACAAGCTGAGGATTCTTCACGCGCTAATACTAAACTTTTGGCGACGTCTACAAGCATACCTATGCACGTTGAGTGTAAATTTGGACATCAAACGTCTACGTGGGATGATATAGTTCATTCGGAGGTTGATGTTAGGTCGCTGTCTAAGATTCTTGAAAAGAAAATTATTGTGGAAGTCCCAAAATGTATTAGTGGATCGTACAAATTACTAAGTAAATGTTGCGATGACAATTTAATTATCAGCTGTCAAAAGGAAAATCCAGTAGAAAAGGCTAAAGATGAGTCTCGGCTAGATGTAGTTTTTAAATTGAAGAGGTCAGAAACGGGTCACGTCGTGAGTAATATTAGCTCCATTATGATCCTACAAACCGCACCAATACCTCAAGTCTTACCAGGTATGCAGTTATCAGTAGACTGGTTATTTTATACCTCAAAATGTAACTAGATGCTCATCCAGTATTACTTAAAACATTTCTATCCAATCATAACATATAACTTTCTTTCTTTTTTAGAAGCAACGCCTGCAAAATCTGCGATTCCACTAGCTGTACTTTATAAAGAAGTTAATGAGGAAGATAATTACCATCAGGAAAATAAGTCAAATCAATCAGTTAAAATTACAGAATTAAATGTTTCTTGTGAAAATGATGAAATAAAAGACACAGATGATTTATTTGAAGATAATGTATTACAAGATATATGTGATGTTGGTAAAGATTATGATGATTTAGAAGATGAAGACAATGTGGATATTACTGAGTGCTTGTCTGATGACAACTGTCGCAGAGTATCTTTCAAAACCCCGCCGCATTTCGAAAATAGCCCTGAATCCAGTTGCAATTTATTGAATAATATAGATGAAATTGAAGTGTATTCTCCTAAAGAAGCATCTTACGAGCTGTGTCCAGCCGATTTACGGATGACAATGCAGAAATTGTCAATACAGAGCACTTTACCTGAAGAAAATGTTGAAGACTTGTCACAATCACTCACCATGAAAAAGAAATCCTCCACGAAAGTCAGAATAAAATCACCTTACGAGAACCAGTCGCACGCGATGGAAGAGAAGAAAAGGAAAAAACTACTTGAAATAAGAGAGAAGCGTGAAAAAAAGAAAATTGCATTAGCTGAAAGTTGCAAGATTAATAAGAGTAAGTATGGTAATCGAGCTCCAATGCCACAAGCTTCTACCTCTGTAACTAAACTATCTATAACCAATAAATCGTTCTATAACTCTATATATGGGCAAACTGGAGACGTAGATTCCAAACAAGCAAAGAATAGAAATCGCAGGGGAGATACCCAGAAAGAACTTCCCGATGTAGCTCTTGACAAACTTGGAAATGATGAAGAAACACCAAAATCACAAGATCAAAATAACAAAAAGTTTATAAACAGAAGTTACTATTTAGATGATGCCGTAACTGAAATGATGTACTTAAACATGAAACAAAAAGAAGAAGACAAAGATATTGGATCTGCCTCTACTTCTGGTATCTCTGGCGAATTCAGAACAAATTTAAGTATACTTTCTCAGCTTATCGCTCATAATGACACCGAGATCAGCGGTGACGACAATGATGAGAAAGTATCTCCAGATGAAAGAACTGACGATATGTAAGTTTTTCAACCAATTATCTGAAATTAGTTTTGCTTTACATCTACATAATCCAAAGTCTTAATTTTTTGTTTCTTTTCTATTCAGATCTATCGCACCCAGTGATAACGAAATTAACCAAGAAAATGAAACTAATGAGTCATCGCAAAGCACGCTCAACATAATGCAACCGAATGATCCAAATGATTTGCCTAAACCACAAAACGACAAAAACGATCTAAAGAAAATCCAGCCTTCAATTGAATGCAGGAAGAGTATTGACAAAATATATAAACTTATGAATAAAATGGGAAAACGCCCTGACCCGGATAGTAAATCACAAAACAAGTATTCGGCAAACGTTAGTAATAGAACAGATTTAACTGGAGATAAGGGGAGCATATCTATCCAGGGCAGTGACAGTGGAACTAGTTTGAAGCATCATCTAACGTCATCCAATCCCAGTTCCTTTAGCTTCGATAGACATAACAATCCTGAGAACTCTGGTACTTTTGTTAACTCTGAAAATCCAATGAATGTTACGCCAAAAGTCATAATCAGCTCAAAGTCACCTATTCCCGTTTCTAAAACTGATGAAAAAACGAAAAGGGACAAGAAGACCAGGGTCATTAGTCCTAAAGTACAAGAAACCAATCCATTGAAGGCTATATCACAACTTCTACATGAATTCGAAAACGTTCAAAGGAATAGATTAAAATCTGGTAAGGAGCAGAAGCCAGCTAAAAAGAATGATACAAATATTACTGTAGCAAACGATGGGCGAACTAGTTCGCGTCAAGGTTCTTATAAACGACGATCGCGAATCGAACAGCACAACGAGACAATGGAGAGAAATACTAGAGTCAGTACACCGAAAGATAGAAAACCCAACCAAAAAGGTAATGGCGTGGATCCTTTGAGAATTCCATATCAGCAAGTCCCTACAGAGGATAGATACATAGATAAACCTACCAAGAAAAAAATAATTGACATATTAGATGAAGCAAAAGAAGCAAGAGGTGAAGCAGTCAGAGGACCTTCCAAATTTAATTCAAGGTTGAACTCTTTAGCGCAACCGAAAAGAACGTATGTGCAAGCTCATAGTGAAGAATACCAAAATAGATACGGTCGAAATTTAATAACAGATAGACTACAAAAATTAGCCGCAGCTCCAACGCAGGCAGTCACTGAGCGCGCTGCGGCCCCAACTAACGTTAGAAACAGAACGAAACGCCATGGAAATGATGCAGTTTCCGCAGTATCTTTAAAACTTCCTTTTCAGTCGAGTCTTCCAATAGGTGTGTAAAGGTGAATTTGCTTACTGTTTTTTTTTAAATAAGTAAAATTTACCTCGGCTTACAGAATTGATAAAAATTATAATTTTGTAGCTATATTTTGTAGAATAGTGTAGTTTTATTTTTCATAATTGACGCAGACACGGATGACGTATTAAACCAATTCTAATGGTAGAAAATTTTACTTTGTAATTTTAGAAGAGTTAGTTGCAAGTTATGTTGTTAAACAATTAGTTAATAATGGGAAGACCATTATTAACTAATTATTAATGGAGAAGGAAAACTTGAAACAAACCCTATACCAACCCGTCTGGCCAGCGTGGTATAGTAGGCCAAAACCTACTTTCTAAGGAGGCCTATGTCCAGCAGTGGACTAACATAGGCTGTTGATGTGTGATGTGATGTGATGTGTGTTCCTCATATTTTTCAATCGCACGACTGTAATATTTATACAACCATAAAATCTATAGGTATAGATTTTATAAACTAACAAACAAATTCTTCAGCTTTTATGAAAACATAAGTAGGTACTTATGTTTTTTGTTCGCAAAACTCAGGAACAGAATCTCTAATAATTAAATAATTCTTTGGTAGCCCATTTATCAATGAACGCTATCAGCTATATAATATTACGCTACGACCCATAGGAGTCAATCCAAAAATCATTTTTTTTTGCAATAAAACGGTAAAAATGTATTCCTTTTGAGAGACGCTTCTTAATAATTCGTTTTACTCTTGTAAACAAATACCATTATAAATAAATCTAGGATAGATAGTCTAGATAGATAGAGATAGATTAATGGACGGCGTGATACGGCGCTTATCCGCCCACTGTCTGCCGAGCATTATTTGTAGCATCATACCAAAACTGTTTAATTGTACTTCCTAATATTTTTTTTGTTTAGAACGACCTACCCGAACACGACACTCAACCAGCAATAGCCCTGAAGCCAAAGATCGTATATCTGCAGGAATCGGGATGTCCTATAAACAAAATAACGTAGCTGAAACACCTGAAACATTGTAAGATCTGTGGTCTATTTCTCTATGTATATTGTAGAATAACTTCGGATTTGATTTAATTTCTGTTTTCACTTAGTAAAAAGATGGTGGCAGTGGAGTCGTATGTAAAGAACCATTACGGTCGTGCGTCTTCGTCGACAGCCACGGAAGCACAGAAATCGCGAGCCCCGCTGTTTCCAAATGACATCGATATGGGTAAATCAATCCTTCTAAAACTGTTCTCCTGTGTAGCATACGAAAACTACTAGATTTACGATGTAACATTGAGTTTAGGATTGTGAATAGAATATAAAAAATTGTTTATTAGATAAAGGTTAATATGCATGGTATCTCGCTACAATTACTAGTTTCTCAGATCTACAATTCGGATATTAATAAATAACTATTTTCTATATGAACTTGCCCAAAATACGTATACCCAAATTCTTCATCAACTTACTACCGATACTTAAGTTATCGGCGATAAGTTGATGAAGTATTTCCTCCTTTAGCTCGGCTTTTAGAAATCGTAACTACTAGTTTAATATTGCAGGATCAATCTCATCAACCCCATCCCCTAAAGAATCTACAGAAGTTGGCACTAAGCTGCACCATATAATCGATTACATGTTAAAAAATCCTTCATGCGGCCTGGAAGCTCTAGATGAATGTCATGAATCGAATTCTAGGTCAAGTAAAGATAACCCTAATGACCTTTTTCTTAACATGTTCCAATACGAAGAAGGGATTTCGGTAGACTCTGACTTTGCCACAGGAATTACGGACGAAGATATTGTACTGAGAATCAAGAACAGCGATGAACAGTCGTTATCTGGGACAGACGCAGAAAAAAATAAGCATGCTTTATGCAGCACCATATCTGTGGGGTCTTTTCCTAAGCCTTTGAGGATGAAAAACTTGAGGTTGACGCCGAAATCTTCGATACAACCATTATTGCTTTTACAGGCAGGAGACACTGGCTCTATAGTTCTAAATGCGTCATTATCACAGAATTCCGAAATGGATAAGCTACTACATTTAAAGGGCATGCCTGTATTATCCAAAACTAATTTAAACTGGAGTTTCACTAATATTCCAATGCAAATTACCACCGTTGGCTACGCTTTCCCTGAATATAAATGTGTCAGATCTGGAACGCATTCGTTAACTCAATTGTTAGAGAAAGTGTCGAAGACCTCGTCTCAGAAGTCATTAGTGTGTATTAACCCTGTAGACGTAAAGTCCACAGTACACGACAAAGCTGTTAACTGTATCGATAAAGTTAACAAAGACAGCCAATGTTACAGAGGTAGACATCTGCATCCATTACTAGAGCAAGATCCTGTGGGTGATGACCCAAAGAATTGTACGATACCTACAGAGTTGAGGTCTTGCTTAGCTCCGGACACAGTAGATGATAACGATGTCCCGAAAACAACGAATGATTCAAATAATTACCAGCTCAAAGACGAAGTCAAAGAAAATAAAACAATTGATAAAAATGAAGCAACAAATGCAGGAGACAAAAATGACTGCTGCATGTCCATTCATTCAGGAGTAGATAACACAGCCTCGTTTGATTTATTAGTTGGACTCCTAAACGAAATTAAAAAAATTACAAAGTGCCAGACTCACATCACTTCCAATGATGCCGATGAGTGTAAGGAGCTAGAAGTTATTTTAAATAAAACCTCCAAAATTGAAAACTCTAGTCAAAGTGTAGCTTACAATAATCTCTCTTTAACTAACCTGGATAGACTTCGTTGTTTGGAATCTAATCCAAGTGTATATTCATTGTATTTATCTGACAACGAAGCCATAGGAAGAAGAAACAAAATAAAAATTAATCGCGATATAAATCCATGGTGCGAAATAAAATATAACATCTCGCACTCTAAACCAACTTTTGTTGATAAAGAAACAAGTGTTAATATCCCTCGCAAGGAATATGTCCACAGATTAACAGATGTTCCGTCTATATGTTTCCCAATAACGATTAATCATAGCACAGATGTGGCTAATCCGCTAATTGAAGAACTGTGTCAGGCCTCGTCACAATCTCTGTTCTCATATCATTCTACATATTCTAATGTCCTTTCCAAAAGTATGTTAGAACTCCCACAGGTGATAGATATACAAGATGTGAAAGTTGCCGTAACTTGCTGTAAAGACAATCAGGAAATTGTGAAAACAGATATGACAAAATTAAGTAAACGGAAATCTCGAAATTATAGAAGGGAAATGACAATAAAAAAAACTGCAAATGGAACTTATATTAAATGTTGTCTAAGTAACAACTCGGATTATGATCCAGTTATGAAAATGAAAAGGGATATTTTAGTTACGATTTATTCAATGCTGGTATTCACGGTGTTTGCAGCTTTATCATTTCCTGAAGTGTTGTTCAATATATAACTTGTACGGGTGGTGTCCTGTGGCACGTCTGCTGTACTTTTTGATTGTTTTTAGACTGTTGAAAATACGCACCTTGTCTGTTTGGTAAAAACCTAAGTTTGTAAATTCAATGTTGGTGTGAAGTAATTTATAAAAAGAAAATTATAGATAAGAAAATATATTAGTTTTATTATTTTTAGACTACACCATTATTGTAAATTGCCATTTCTAAGCTTTTATTTCACTTAATAATTTCAAAAGATCTCTTTATCAAAATAATTGTTTTTCGTTCGGCCACTTTAGCCAAAAAGAGGGTCAGGTTGGATTGAGAGATAACTTTTAAAACATTTTAAAAATTGTCTCAAAGGTATCATAAAATCTCGAGTCCGACTTCTGAATAAGAGAATTGCTTATATCGCGATACAGGATTAGCAGTTACTCCGTTGTTCGGTGTATCTTCGTTAGATGGCGCTGTAGTATGTTTCTTCGTTTCACCGTATGTGGAAGTCGCCACATCTCTTCCCACCAAGACCGGAGGTCTATTGAGTCAGCTGTTTATGCTTTGTTGTGGAGCGTGCCAGTGCCAGTGGTGAGTGGTACCAGTGAGTCGGAACTGAGTGCCGCTAGTTCCAGTGAGTCGGTACCGAGTGTCGCTACTCCCAGTAGTTGGGACTAAAGTCCGCTGATCCCAGTGAGTCGGGATGACTTGCGGTGCGCGGTACTGCAGTGAAATTCGTAGTACGTCGGGGTGGTTGCTGGGCTGGCTGCTGCGTAGACGAGAGAGAAATGCTCTTCTTACGTGCACCGTAGGTACAGTGTGCTGTGCCTAGCGCTGATGAGGCCGTAGGTGAAACCAAGCTGGAGCGGTCGCTACCTGCGTGTGGTATCCCTGTTGAGGCTGAGGTTGATGGCTGGCTGAGACTTTATGGTTGCTCATCCATATGCGAGTGTACACGATAGTGCTGCTGCTGATCTGCTTCGTCGTAGGCTGCTTCCAATCACGTAGGAGTCACCACTGTGAAGGGACGGGTATCATGTCCCTCCAACACAAAGGGAGGATCCTCTGACCAGGCGAGGTGATCATGCCTGGCGGGCCGCGGCCTAACGGTTTATATGCTAATCGACAAGAGAGTTGCTTATATCGCTATACAGGATTAGCAGTTACTTCGTAGTTCGGTGTGTCTTCGTTAGATGGCGCTGTAGTATGTTTCTTCCTTTCACCGTATGTGGAAGTTGCAACACAGTATTATTCCTTATCCAAATTACAGACGAAGAAAAGATTTACAAATATCTTTTTAAGATATACAATTTTGTACTACAATATTTTGATCTATCTCGTAAAGTTTATACAGCGCTTGCAATGTAAGCGCACAAAGACATGTTACATATAATTTTTAAATTGATCAATTAAATATATCAATAAACCTGTCTTTTGAATCACTCTATTGGTGAAAACCGCATTAAAATCCGTTGCGTAGTTTGAAAGATTTAAGCGTACAAGAACAAAAAGCTACTTCATTTTATACTAATCTGTCACCACACAGATAAGATATATATTGTCCGTGTGGTGACGGATTAAGAATACGGAGTGGAACCACCCCTATTCATCGCATAGGTGTCATAAGAGGTCCTCCATTTCAGAGAAATTCAAATTCGTTTCGAACGTAAACAAAATAATCGCGCGACAAGATATTTTCGATCTTATGCATATTATTATAGAACTCATTGTTCCGTGCCACCTTGCATTATTATTAGAACTTTTTCTGGAACTTCTGTGATATTTCGTGACAATATATTACTCAAACAGCTATTCCCTAAAAGCCCGATGTATATGTTTAATCTTGCCTTAAAATAAATTCGTAAACTCCTAGGAGAAACAAAATCTAACCGTGGGAGAGCTGAGCTTACTTCGGCACATATGGGTTGTTTGGCTCGACCAGAGTGATTATCGGAGGACCAAACCCCTCCCTAATCCTAATTCAACGACTCTTAAGTCCCAACTGTCCATAAGTTGCTGCTGTCACTTACCATCAATTGACCCGTCTGCTCATTTGCCCCCTACACCATAAGAAAAACAACTTTTTATTTTCTTTATTTATTAGTCGTCAGCAAAAAATAAGTTTAAAGATGATTCGTCTTTAGTGCACTGCGATTCTTTATTAGTCCATATATCTAACAGTCCCATTTCAACTTCCTCATTCTCAAACGCATCATATATTTCTTTCTCATTAAATTTCAAACTTCTCCTAACAAACTTATTTTCACCAAACTTATAATCGTCAGGTATTCTTTTCAATTCCTTCCAAATATTACTTATATCAATTACAGAAGACACTTTAAATTCCTTCGTTTTGTTTTTAAAAGATTTACTCCATTCGTTTAAAAGTTCCGCACTAGTGTCCTCGAAGAATGCAGTCATATATTTCGGGCACAAAGTGTGACATGTAACATCCCCGAGTGAATTCAACATTAGTATTTCGTAGTTATCATCTTGTTCCAAAACCGATAATCCTATAACAGAGCTACACAACCGATTATTGATTGGATTATATACATCACAACATAACATTTTTTCTCTAGCTTCAGTGAAAACCTGTAAAATACTTGGAGGTCGATATGGTATACTGACACTGTTAATATCACTGGGCCTGGTCAATCTATCCGCATAGTTACTGACAACACAGATATCCTCACACCACTGACTGCTCATACATATCAATTCTTTATTGTATTCGAATTTACATACTGACATATAAGTTGGGAGACACTGCATACCATGAGTCCACCTCTGCACCGCTTTTAATTTATTCCTTTCTGTTTTATTATATCTTAAATCAACTAAAAATAGGTGGTGATCCGTCCCTATGTACATGAGCCGTTTATCTGTTCCATGTCTGGCAACACTTATATCATTGCAGGCAACATCGTCAGTGATGTTTCTAAGATTTTTCCATCGCTGAAAGGCACAGTTTGTTCGCTTGTCGTATAGGGTGACAGAGTTCTTTGATATATGAGAGTAATAGCCCCTCTCTGAACCAATGACAGTACTCCAATTGTTCAATAAACTGCTTACGTCGGCACGTAGCTGTTTGCTTCGTCCTGTCATTCTATCTATGTTTACTATTGTGAGCCTGAAGTCTAATGTTGTCACGTATAAAATATTTTTGTGATACTCATCAAACGATATTCCCGTAAATGGTATGTTTGAGTCCATTTCTTTAATTTTGTCTATATTTATTGAACAGTCATCTGTTATTTTCAAAATTATTATTTTATTTCTGGTTCGCAGTGCAATTATATTTTGCGATGATGTTATTTCTAAGATATTCATGTCTTCTCCGCAGTCATATTTTGTTTCGTTTTCGTGATCTATAGATAGGTTGTGTTTTGAAAATGGGGTGAGATCTGAAAAATCATAGATTTATAGATTAAAATCCCAATGCATTTTAAAAACCTACCTGTAGATTCATGTTTTTAAATAAAAACAATAGTATTTAATATTAAACGTATGCCGTAGGTAAGCAAATATTCGAATAGAGATTGAGAATCAGTAATTTCGTTAACGGAATTTTTGGGACAATTGATAGTCCTGATACTGATTAGGCATCAGTTCAAAGGTAACAATACATACTACCATTGGTTTTTAATTTATAATAATATATTTTTTCCATGAAACAACAGAATTGTCTATAGCAGCGGAATGGGATATCTGTCACTATAATTATTAGTGCCTCAGTGACTCTAGCCTATTGCTGTCAATCAGCCACTTCGAGAAATAAGATGGGAAACTGAGTTCATATTGACAGGGAGAGTAGGTAAGAATAGGAAATAGATCAGGGCAGCTTATCTGTTATTCGAATTAACTGAAAGTAGCACAATACTTACATAAGCAGCTCAATTCACTACGCAATAAAAAGTCCAGACCATTCAGCACTATACAATGCATGTTACCATGCCCTGCGTAGTACCAGTTGTAACTGCTATCAAAGTAGGGGTCTGGGTTCTGCTCATAATGGGCAGCTACTTCTAACAACTGCTTAGGACAGTGCAACACTTCTTCATTGATCCATTCATACTTGTGTCGTTTGCTCATTAAACCTGAAACATAAGTACACTATTCTATATTAACATGTCATTGATGGATGTTCTTGGTGTGCTAAGACATAACATATACACCAAAATATCTAGCTCGAAACATCTCTGCAATTAAATAAATTGTTTTGTTGCACCTTGATCTGATCAAAGATAGTTCAGATACTTCTATATTGCATCATCTTTATTGACAATCAGAATAACTTCACACATCTCACACATATTTATCTGATCTCAAATTAGGCAGTCCGTATGGGCGTGACACATTGTTTTACACTGATTAAGCCCTGTCCACTTTTTTTTTTTTTTCTTTTCCGTGCGGAAATCCCCTCGGATACCACCTATCGGTGGCATGTCGGACTCGAACCGACTAAAACCGCACGCCGTCTAGGGTACTTATAGCCGGGGAACCAGGTATACCCTAGAAAGAAAGCCCTGTTATAGTCAAGTTCACATTCACCAGAGGGCAAAGTGCGAGTTTATTTAATTTCTACTCGATCGCAACGGTGACCGCGTTCGGCGCTACAAGGCTCGCCTTGAAATCTCCACCAATCGCAACGCTAAACGCGCTCGCCATCGAGAGCGAGTCGATGTTAATTAAACTTGCACTCAGCCCTCAGTTGTCTGCATACTTTCGTACGAAACGATGGATTTTTTGGGCGTCACATGAACTTTTTAAATGGATGAACACCAGTTCATAAGAATAAAAGTGTATCAATAATTCTTATTCGGAAAAATGAGTTTTTTATAATGTTTTTAAGTACAACTGTGTGAACTAAATGTCACAGAGTGCATTTATAACAATAACAAGTATCGATGGTCAACAGATGTTACTATCCTTTTGTTTTATTCTAAAACAACATCTTTACATAGTATAAAATTAAGTCACTTTTTTGTGTTGTATGCTTAGATCTTTTAAACTAAGCAAGGGATTTTAATGCGGTTTCACCAATAGAGAGCGTTATTCAAGGGGAAGTTTTATATGTATAATACATGCATTTTATAGTAGAGAAAATATGAGAATTTCAAAGATTTGTTGTAAAAAACATGTTTTTGTGCGCTAACATTGCAAACGCTCCCTAAACCTTACGAGATATGCCAAAATAATGTACTACGAAATTGTACATATTAAAAAAATCTACAAAACAGTCCGCGATAGTATATATCTACCATTTTTATTATATAAATATTACAAAAAAAATAATCAGTTATTTACGAAGCTATTTTAAACAATACATTATTATTCCTTATTCAATAAAATACGTTAGATATGTACATTTAATGTAGTTTTTTTTTTTTTTTTTACAAGACAACTCCCGCATTAGGAATATATCCTGTGTCGCGGGGGACTTTACAAACATATATGAAACGGACACAAAGAACATCCAGACTCAGAACAACAATTTGTGGATCACACAAAGTGTCGTCCCATGTGGGGTTTGAACCCACAACACTCGGTGTAGTAGGAAACGGCGTGGCGACCGCTTAAACCACTACGCCATCCGTGCAGTCATCCGTCAGATTAAAATTGCTCTGTACCGCATATCATTATAATGAATATTTTAGAAGATATAAGAGGTTTAAAATGCAGGGATCCAACAATCGTCGAGCCGTACGTCCGTTCCGGGTGGCAGCGGCTGGCAGGATCGGAGCTGGCCTATAAATATTGCATATAAAGATCTGATACACTGTACCCGTGCGAAGCCGGAGCGGATGGCTAGTTTTAGATAAACTTAAATCTATTAAAATTATAAATTGTTGTACAAACGTAAATTGTTTAAATTTTTCGTCTACCATGAATACACTTTTACTCCCGATGCGTCACTAGTTTATTATGGCACGTGAACGTCATTCAAATAATAATAATAATAATATTCTATCACATTCACACAACGCCATCTAGTCCCAAACTAAGCAGAGCTTGTACTATGGGTACTAGACAACTGATATAAATACATATATACTTTTTTTTTTGTAAATACATACATATTATACATAGAAACACCCAGACCAAATCAAACATTACATGTTCATGCACACAAATGCTTGACTTAAGCGGGAATCGAACCCGCGACCTTTGGAATAGCAGTCCGTTACACAAACCACTACGCCATTCGGTCGTCAAATATTTAAATGTAATCGTCAAATATTTCTACTTCATTCATGCTAAGAAAATAATGACGAATCAATCAAGCCCCGCACCCTGGCCAATCAGGTTTTAAGCACTTCCTTAAAACAATAACTGTTTTGTAATAAACTGAAACAAATTGTCTTACTCATAATCCTTTTGTAATCATTTAAAGTATCTTGCCAGGCCATCTTTTTCTTCATATACTCTGTGACTGGATCTCTCATTTCTATGTTTCTAATTGTGGATATAATTTTAGGCATTAGACTTTTGTAAGAAAATGATTCAAAGTAGCCTGAGTTGAGGCCTCCGTCCCAATCTTCACTGAACATGTTCAATGGATGTCCAGGAAGAAGATAGTGTGCGTTATTTAGATATTTTCCAACAGTTGTATGTCTCTGCCTGACTGCTTGACTGTATAGTATATAGAGTTTGCTCTTCCGTTTATTTGAGTGCAAAGTTTCTATCAGCTGATCCACTGAAGCAGTGCTGTCAAGGCCCTCAGTAACTATGTCTTTTTTTCTTTTCTGTAATACATAATATATTGTTTACATAAATACATTATTCTCATAAATATAGTATATATATATTGGATAGACATATCTGTATGTGTATCCAATATGCTGCCACTTTATTTGTAAATTATTATTTTGAGTGGAGATATCATCTATTTACATAGGTAGTCCTTTTGCTAGAAGCAATCTCATTACTGCAACATTTAGATGGATCAAAAAGGTTAAAAAAGACAGTGGTGTAAAAAAAAAAAACATATAATACATTAGTTATAAAAATACAGGTATAGATATTCTAAATACCTATACAGAAAGTATTGTTTGTATGCATTTCTTAGAAAATTAAAAAAAAAGTTAAATTTAGAATAGTAAAATTTTCAAACAATATGTATAACAGATTTGAAAATTACTTGGAAATGACTACATCAAGCAACAAACATACAGGTATATGTATATAAGTCTGTAAACTTGTGTCAGTCTAGTATAACCAGAAAAAAAATTATAACTAAATGGCTGGGTGGCATGCCGAGAGGCCCATGATTGGCATAGCTTCTCAATCATGGGCCTCTCGGCATGCAATACTTAACATTCATAAATGACATATTTTAGAAATCTAATAATAACATTGTCCACATTTAGAGATTTAAGAATATCAATATATCAAAAATTTATAAATTAAATGAAAAGAGATGCATTTTGTCAGTTCTAAATAAATTGCAATACAATGTCACAATAATTTAGGAATAGAACAAACAAATAGACGCAAATAAAACATTTTATTATTTGATGTAAGTAAACTTAAATTAAAATACTAAGCTACTACTAGCTACTAAGCTTAAAGTCAAGTAGCAGATCACTCAAATTTTTTATCAATTAATTTACCTTAAACTGGGATGGCTTTAGTTTTATTGATTGTTACTACAAAATTAAGAAACCTGGACTAATATTTTAAATTATAAATACATAAACAGAGGTCACATTTCTGCGTCAGTCTTGGGGTTATTTTACAATTGTTTCATTTGGTACTTACTTTTTTTATGCCGATTTTACTATCCTGATCTGCCATTTTATAAATACTCTTACCGGCAGTAGCTTACAAAGAAAGATAATACTGATACATACGTTTTAGATATAAACAGAAAAACAATTTCAACTTTTGTGGTGCAACATACTCGTAAACACACAACGAAGTCCGAAAGCAAAACAGACTAACAGTATTTTGTATTTATTGCACTCTGTGCTATGTTCACAGACATTCTATTCTATTCTATTTTTCTCTATGGCAAACGATGCCGATATGTCGACAATTGTAGCCTGAGAGCCAATTATGTGATAAGAGAACGAACACCAGGTATTCCTGTTAAAATTGGAGGAATGGGTCAGAAGGGAAACAAAGTTTATAGGAAGGGGGATGTTCCATTTTATTAGTTTACTGTACAGACTGGGGAGTGAGTTATTAAGGGGGCAATCAAAAAATATATGTTCCAGGGTCCCCTCGTCGAGGCCACATTCACATAGAGAGGAGTCTCGTACACGATTTTTTTTGTAGAAACACTGGGGAGCAACAATGGCCCACGCGTAGACGACAGATACATATATATATGATATATATTTTTACAGATATTACAATTTTTGCAGTTTTTTTGTGTTGGTAAAACCAAGGTTTTGGAGTAATATTTGGTTGTACTGCATAGTAGTATTTGCCTTTCTTCTTGCTGGACTCATTCCACTGGGATTGCCATGAAGACAACAGTATCTTTTTGGGTATGGCCAATAAGTCATAACCTTGGTTATAGTAGTGCTTAAGGTCTACAGATGGTGCTGAGATGGCACTTTTGGCCAGCATATCTACCAACTCATTTCCCCTGATGCTAGAGTGACTTGGGATCCACACTAACTGGACTGTTGTTTGTTTCATGAAACATTTAAAGAGTTGTTTCTTTATTTCTAAAATAAGGGAGCTGTGTAATTTGTTTTTGTAGGGGTTCTGTTCTAGGGCCTTAAGACAGCTCAAAGAGTCAGTGAAAATTACAGCCTTATTAATGTTATGTGTCTGTATACATATACAGGCCTCTAGAATGGCTACACACACCTGTGAATACAGAGGATTCCCTTGGGCATTTGAACTTACATCTACAGTATATAAGTTGAACAACAAAGGGCTTAGAACGGAGCCTACGGTAAGCCTTTCCATACCCTTCGCTGCCCGAACTCTTCTCCTTGGGCTCTGAGAGTCAGTGAGCGTGACATAATGATTTGGCATATGCTATGTACCATTCTTGCTGAGATTCTCAGCTCTTGCAAGTTTTGCCTGAGGATCGGAAGAAGGACGTTGTCATAGGCCGAAGTTATGTCGAGGAATGCCGCGACTACTGAGTCATTTGCTATCCATAGTGCTGAGTCCTTTTCTAAACGCGAATTGGGAGCTTGGAAGTAAATCTCTAGACTCCACGATCCATTCTAACCGATTTTTAAGCAGGTGCTCGAAGATTTTTAGCAGGACTGATGATAGAGCGATTGGTCTGTATCCATTTGGGTCATCTGAATTTTTGCCTGGCTTTAAAATTGGGATGATTATTTGTTCTTTCCACTGATTGGGGACTGAACCGTTTTCATGGCAATTTATTATTTTAAGGAAATAGGGAATATTTCCTTATTTCCTTGCTTTGCTCCCAAAATAGGTAAGGAAGGAGTATGGTATTCCATCAATCCCTGGAGCTGAGTCCTGGACATGATCAAGCACCATATCTAGTTCCTGAGGGGAGAATGACAAGTCAGATGTTTCTAAATCAAAGCTAAGTAAGAAGGAGCTAGAAGAGAGTGAGTGTGTGCCACCCACACTCACTCTCTTCTATTCTATTTTATCAAAAAACAGTTCAGCTGTCTCGCGGTTCATAGGAGATGAGGTTCTGGGAGTGCACCCTGATCTAAACCTATTTATAGTTTTCCATACTATTGATGGAGGAGTAGATGGAGATAAAGATGTGCAAAACCCGACCCACCCTATTCGTTTTTTCTGTCGCAGCAGCCTTTTGCACTTAGCCTGAACTTGTTTATAAGACAGTAAGTTATGGGTGTTCATGTTTCTGTTATATCTCTTCTCTGTCTCCTTCCGCTCCCTGACAGCTCTAGTGCAATCCTGATCCCACCACGGCGGTGACGGTATTTTACCCCGAGCCGAATTTTTTAGGGGAAAGGTTGGCTCTGTCATGAGATGGCGCCAATGAGATTCTCCAGACAGTTCTGTACATGGCAGTGATTAGATAGACTCGGGCTTTGAAGATCTGAATTTGGAAAAGCGTTTACTCTATCCTCCAGTAAATCAATGTATTTAGACCAGTTTGCATTAGTTAGGTGGAATTTTAATAAAAAGACTGTTTATAGAAAACACCAATTCTGAATATGTAGTATACGTCGAGTCAACAGAGCAGGAGAAGGTAGGGAATAAAAATCCTATCACACTCACCAACTTAATAGCTGAAAATGTTAAAGGAGTCTTAGGAGTACATAGATTAAATGCACACAAAATAGGAGTAACATTCAGAAAGGCGGCTGCGGCCAACAATTTTCTGAAGATGGAAGACTTTTTATGGAAAAATAAGTTTAAAGCCTTCATACCATCGTATTTGACAGAAAGGATTGGTGTATTGAGGTTTGTGCCCAAAGAACTTTCCAATGAGGAAATATATAAAAATATAGTATGTGACTCTGAAGTGATTTCAATAAAAAGATTCATGCGCAAACTAGAGGGAAAATTAGTGCCCCTCAATACGGTTGCTGTCACCTTTGCATCAACAACATTAATACAATACGCCTATATAAAACTATTTAGATACGAGGTGAAAATATACATACAACCATTATTGCAATGTTATAAGTGTCTTAAATTTAACCATTCTGCTAAGGCTTGCAGAGGCGAGCAACACTGCTCTTCTTGAGCTGGTCGTCACTCCTACAAAGAATGTGATGTCGATCAGATCACATGCATCAACTGCGCAGGTAATCATCTTGCCATTTCACGAGACTGTCCCATTAAAAAACAAAAAATTGAAGAGAAAAAGGCTAAATTTCGGCAGCAATCGTATGCCACTGTTGTGAACTCACTCCCTACATTAAATGAAAAATCTTTCCCTGTTTTACCTAAGGTGACTGATAAGGCCAATGACACTTTAGATATTAAACAACTGGCAAATAATGATATTGTAATTAATGCAATTGTTAAATCGTTGGTTGCATTAGGTAACAAGAGTGACTCTGATGGGCCACTCACACATAGAAAATAAAGGAAATATTTTTATCAAATTTAATTTAAACATGGATAATTATTTAAATATTTTACAGTATAATATACAAAGTTTACAGAGTAAAAAGAGCCTATTACAAAATTTATTAATTGAAAAAAAAAAGATGTTTGTCTTCTTAATGAGACTTGGTTAAAATCTAATTCTATAATTCCACACTTTCCTACATATAATCTAATCTACAAAAATTCCATAAATTCTCATAATGGAGTAGCCATTTTGGTTAATCCTCGTTTAAAGTACAAAGTAATTAATACATAATTCTCAGAATCTGTTCAAAACTTATGTATCACTATAGAAACGCAATTTGGAGCAATGGCAATACTTTGCGTGTACAGCCCACCAAGTATCAGGTTAGACTCAGCAAATTTAAAGTATTTAATTGATAAAATACCCAAACCTTGTATAGTTATGGGCGATTTTAACGCTCATAACGTAGCTTTTGGATGTTATAGTGATAATAATAGAGGTAGATGTTTATATAATATAATTGATGAATTTGACTTATGTATTTTGAATCATGGATCACCAACAACTGTTCCTTATCCTAATAGACAAGCTTCAGCAATAGATCTTGCCCTTGTTAGTTCTTTAATAGCTCATTTATGTAACTGGTATGTTCATGACGATTCTATGGGGAGTTATCATCTTCCAACCTTACTCGAGATCAACATTCAACCTTCTATGTATGACAGGTCACCTCCTGTGGATCAAGAGAAATATATTTATAGTAGGGCGGCTTGGGACGAATATTATGGCCTATCAGAAACTTGTTTTTCCCACTTGGAATCAATAAATGATTCCCCTACCAATGCATATAACCATTTTATAGGAATATTAAATGATTTAAGGAATAAAAGAATTCCAAAACGAAAATTAGGTGCAAACACAGCTATTAAGAAACCAGTACCGTGGTGGAATTCAAAATGTAGTGACTGTGTCGCAAAATCAAAAGATACATTAAAGCATTACTTTTGTCAACCCAACATTGAAAACTGGATAAAGTATAAAAGAAAAGAATTCTGAAGGAAGAAAGATCTTCTTCTTGGCAAACTTTGCGTGGTAGTTTTAATAGGTTAACTCCAGTTTCCAGGATATAGGGATACATTAAAAAAATTGGAACAAATCGAAACAAAAATATCAATGATGAGTGGGTTTCAAGTTTTTTAGAGAACTTAGCAGATTCTACTGAAATAGATGACAATAGGCTTGAGAATTTATTCGAAAATGCTAGAGAAAATGATGTAAATGTATTTCTCAAGAATAATTTTACTATAGAAGAGCTAAAAACATGCTTAAAGAGTAGGAAAGATACTACAGCGGGATTGGATGATAATCAATCAAATTGGTGTTAATCAAAAAATTACATTTAAATGCACAAACAATATTACTTATTATTTATAATAGTTGTATGTATTTATAATAATTGTAGGGATGATTTAGTAATACCAAAATCTTAATTTTAAAACCTAATAAACCTGTAAATAGTGCTTCTTCATATAGACCTATTTCCTTATCATCTTGTTTGGGTAAACTCTTTGAAAATATGTTGAAGTTAAGATTAGAATATTTTGTCGAATCACAAAGATTAATTCCTTCTATACAGTTTGGCTTCAGAAAAGGTAAAAGTTGGTCTGAAAGCTTTGTATCTTCATTATCTGATGTAAGACAGGTTAAATTATGCCACTCTAATGCAATCTGCGTGTTTTTAGACGTAAAAGGTGCTTTTGACAGTGTAAACATAGAAGAACTTATTCAAGTATCT